AGCAAACCCATTCCCTGCCAGCAATGACAATGTTATCTAGTTTGGATAATGAAATGTCTGTAGGAAAACAACCAAGCTCAGAAAGCACCAACAACTCTTCATAACAGTTTTCAGTCAAGCTGTCTAATAATATTCAATCAGTTTCATTAGGAATAACAAAAGGAAACCTTTCTAATTAATCCAAAGTCTTGTACCTGAACTTATGTCTTTCAATTAAGTATAACTCAAATTATAGTAAAGAGGACAACATTCAGAGCTAGTGGAATGTAAGGGATTAAGGCTTTTGGCAGTTTGTCTTGCTGACATCAGATAGGTGTAATAGATTTGTAACTGCATATACCTAAAGATCTGAATTCTAGGTTGAATGCATACTGAGAGCAGCTAATAGGAAAGCTGTGTACATTTCTCCAAAGTCCTGAAAAGCTAAAAATCCAATCTTAAAGTTGCTGGAAAATATCCAAGTGTCCTTAATATTTTGACTGAAGTGGCTTTTCTATATGTAGCATGCTGACAATGCTGTAATTTGTTGCAGATATTATCTACAATGGATTTTTTAAATATATATATTTAAGTATATATATATATATATATATATATATATATATATATATATATATATATATATATATACTTTTTTCAGTAAAAAACATTTGCTTAATATTGGAATCCTCCCTGCCTTTCCTGCTTCCATTTTGTTCTAAAAAAGGTAAAGATAACATTTAAAGGTACAAAAGGACAAAGAAAATGTGTAGATAAAGAAAGGGGAATGAAAATTTGGAAGCCAAAATAAAGCAGCACACAATAATGAAAAGGTAATGTTTGTTCTTTAAAACACAATTAGACACATAAGAGAATAGGCTGAATGCCTGACATGCAGTAAGAGAGGAAATAAATAAATCTGTCCTGGAAAACAACAACACAGTTTGTAAAGTAACATTGGATTTAGATGGATTACCCTGCCTCTAGAGCCATTTTCAGAGGTTTGCTGAAACATTCCCATTGGCAGAAGGGAAGGTGATAAAAATCAGCCAAATGATAGATATAATCACAAGCCTCATCTGTTTTGTACATATCATGCTTGCATATTCCCCACTCCCAATAGACATTGCTGCCCTGTATGATGGGATATTCTTCAAGAGGAATTCCTGACTATAAGGGCTATTAGGGAATGGAACACCTTGTCCCCATCCCCTGAAGTTGTGGGTGCTCCATCACTGAAGTTTTTTAAAGAAAAGACTGGAGACCCTTTTGCCCAGAATGATGTGAAGATTCCTGCCTGGGCAGGAGGTTGAACTAGAAGGTCACTTCCAACCCAATGATTTTACAAATTTTCTCTGTCCTCCAAGAACTCCATCTGAAAAGATGAGCTGACAGACAGAGGAAAACAAGCCATCTTTATTATTGTTAATTCATCACATGGCCAGATGTTCAGACTGGGTTTGGCATTTTTGTCCACTTTCCCAAGGACTTCGGACAGGCAGATGTTGATGTTTGATGACCTTTAAAGGTATCATTGCAAAATGTAACTGTTCCAAGTAAAGCTGCTTTTTGCAATTGACTAATGGTGAATTTGTCAATGCCTATGGTGTTCAAGTGATGCTCAATTGTTTTGAGATTTCACCTAAGTCTCATAGACCTACTACTGTAGATACTATCTTTCTTTGCTTTCTTTTCCCATAGTTGTTCTATTTCTATTTGCAACTAGTGGACCGCAATGGCCATTATCCAGACTTTTTTGTCTTTTATATTGACAGTTATTAAATCTGTGAGTTATGTGGCAGGTGCTTGTCTGCTTGAATTCTAAAGTCCTGGAACATTTTCGCTTACTTTATCATGCCACTGTTTCAAGTCACTCTGTATAATCTTCTTACAGCAGCTTATCAAGTAGTCCACTGTTTCTTCAGCTTCTTGGCAGAGATGGCACTTGCTGTCTGTTACTGTCTTCTCAATTCTGGATTTCTGTGCATTTGTGCTTTAGGCTTGGTCTCATGCAGCCAGAAGTACCCCTCTATCTTCAACTCGCCTAATCTTAGCCACTGCCAGGTCTCTTGTCTGCTTTGCCTATTATTTTATTTTTTATTGTACTGGCCATGTATCTCTTTTCTGTTCTTCCTTTGTTCTTTGTTATAAGCCAATTTGGTTTCACCAGTACTCAGTAAGCCTTCCTGGTATACTAGCTTGAGTGCATCTTGAGACTCAGTTTGGCAAAGGTACCAGGTGAGAAAAAAGGAGACTGGGGGTTCTAGTCATGCCTTAGGCATGAAAACCAACTGGCTGACTTTGCGCTAGACACACTCTCTTGACTCAAGCCACCTCACAAGGTTGTTGCTGTGGAGAAAATAGGAGGAGGAAGGACCATTAGGTATTTCGAAAAATAACAAAGGTAGGATATACATAAAATAAATAATTTGAAGGATTAAAAAAAACCTTAGCCAACAATTCTTATTTACATTTTCTCACTCTAACAGGTACCTATTACTGTTTATACTCCCACTAATCAACAGATGACAATAGCATTGAAAGAAAGGCAGTGATTAAAAAAAAACATTAATACTGTTGCAGGCTACTTTAACTTTGCTTTCTGAACCTTTATAAAATTTTAATGATTTTATACTGAAGTTCATTGCAGAAATGCTGATAACAAAAGCAAAAGTCCAGGAAGAATAAGAAAGTGGATTGATAATGCAACTTGTAGCATGCAAGTAGCAAAAATGATCTACAGGTACTCTGTACTTGTACGTGTTAAATGCTGCATGGCAGACACCTAGGATAAAAAATTATTAATTAACTAGCCATTCCCTATCTGCAACAGTGAGAAGGAACCAAGCAATCTGCCTGTATATGCCTAACTTCAAATGATAGCCTAGTTAAAATATAATATAGTACATTGATAGCAAGTCAGTATATAACAAGAGGCTACAGAGTAAATGATTCCTTTCACAGAACCATCTAGCAGTCTTACGTGGAGGAAAACAAGAGCCTTTAGTGGTATGTATTTTTTAAAAAATCATGTTTGTTCAGTTTCACTAGTGTTCGAAATAGCCAGTGTATACCCCTGTTGGTGTAATTCACATAAAAAGAGAATATTAATGTGATCCTCTTTCATTAGAAACTTTGGTCACCAATAACCATTCTCTATGGAAATAATGTAGATGTAACTTGATGCCACACTATCTTTTCTTCAAAAACTTTTTTAATACTTCATACTTTCAGTATCTCCTCAGCAGTAACCTAGCCTATATAAAATCTTCATGTTTATCAACTATAGGATTTTTAAAAAAATCTTATATTTATGCTCAGAAAATGAAATTCAAGGGAGGAGTGTACTAAATGAATCAAAACTCTGTTTTGTAATTCTTTAGCGAAGAAATGTATGTTGTAATAATGAGAGCAGAAAACCCCTCCATGTGCAAAAGCATTGTGTAACTTTGCTCTCTGTTATCCTAAGACTACTGACTCTGAGTTGCAAAAATGTGTACAGCAGTAGAGACAGACAGAAAATTCTACCACTTTGCTTCCAGCTGGTAGACAATCAAAATTTTGCAGCCCTTAATAATATCCTAACTAGGTACTGAGATGAGTTGTTAAAGAGAAAAAAAAATGGTTACGAAATTAAGGACAAAATAAATTTCAGGAAAGAGAAATGAAAATTATAGGCATGTAGCCTTGAGCCAAGATGAATGAAAGTATTGGGAAAATAAGTGAAGGGATAAAAGGGTGAAATATCCTACTTTGCACAAATGGAAGAGTGACTATAATGTATAAAAATTGGATTTCCTTGCTGTGTTGAAATGCTGTGTTGAAATAAAATATGATTTATGCTACAATTTTGCTCACATTCTTCTGTTCTTAAAGCTCTAGTCACATTCCTTAAAGTAATATATATAGCCAATATATTTATTTCATTGCTGAAACAGGTGAACATTTGGAATGCTTTAAAGACTACTTTAAATAAAGTTGGATAAATTCTCAATAGCAAGCAAAGAAAAAATGTAGCTCGTCTTGCCTTGTTAAGCAAAATCAAGCAAAGCAAAGGATGATCTAATTGATTCCTTATTGATCTAAATGCTTGATATAAATATGAGTGGGTTGTAATGCTAGTTACAGTTAAACATTGATTGTGCCATGTTATTTTTTTTGTATAAGTTTGAGCAGATGGCTGTGGAACTTACCTCTTGGAAAGACTGTCTGTCCTATATGGACATAATTCCTAAGATTACTAAGCAATCCCTATCCTTAAGTACTATATTTCAGCCAAGATGCTAACATTTATTTCTTATAAACCTCAAGCCAAAGGACTGTGATGGCACAGTGGTTAGAATGCAGTATTGCAGACTAATTCTGCTGACCTGCCAATTGCCAGCAGTTTAGCAATTTGATCCTCACCAGCTCAAGGTTGGCTCAGCCTTCCATCCGAGGTTGGTAAAATGAAGACACAGATTGTTGGGGGACATATGATGACTATGTAAACCGTTTAGAGAGAGAATTGTAAAGCATTGTGAAGCAGTACATAAGTCTAAGTGCTATCGCTATTGCTAAAGGGTTTTTTTTTATTGGTAAGTTTTATTCTAGATTCTGGTTAGTTTCTCTTGCCAGTTTCTATGTATGTGTAATGTGTGCATGTACATTCAGTAAGTTTTTCTTCAATGATTGTCAACTGGAAGAAAGGGATTAACAACACAGGGGAAAAAAACCTACACATATAAATGTGATTTTACTTTTACTGAAATAAGAGGTCTACATCTCAACCCTTGAGAGAAGCTTTAGTGATCAAAAATAAACCTTTTAGAATGCTACTTTGAAAAAGGTTATTATAATTTAAAATAAATACTTAAATATTTTTTGTAAGTTTTGTGATAAAGAAGAACACAGGTTTAGTATTGTTGGCTATGTTTTAATTATTTGGATGAAAGGATACATGTTTTGAAAGCAAGTGCATGAGTTGAATTTATAATATAGATTATATATATTAATATCTATTTCTCTCTTTTTCTCTCTAGATGGGAAAGAAGAAATTTACTGGATTAGAAATCTCCCTGATAACTTTCTTCCTTTTGCTACTCATTGTAACCATCACTTTGATTGCACTTCTAGCAACAGGTTATTCTGGTCTTAAAGGTAATAATTCACAATTCCTTGCCTTATAGCCAGAAGAAGGCTTCAATGGATACACAAGATCTTTTTAAATAATACTTAAATATTTCCCACATGATTTTCAGATAGGTGTAGACATCTAATCATGCCTTAGGGTGAGCCTTTGTGTTTCTTCTGCCTTTGATCATTTACCATTTTGAAATATGAAACCTATTGCAATTAGTGTAGGGTAAGTATATTGGGGTTAAAAATTCAAAACAGAACCCATCAAAATTGTCCCCAAGTCCCAGTCTCATCTAGGTATGATGCAATTCCATCCATTTCATGAAGTCGTCCCAAGAGTTAAATGGAGTCCATCAAAAGTGGTCTTGTCCATTCTAAGTCATAAAAAAGAATATTTCCCTATTTGCACCTATCCAAGATACATATATCCCCCAGCTATTCTTTTTTCCCCTGCTATGTTCCCATATGGTTGTCTTACCTGGTCTTCAATCTGTATCTGAGACAGCCTAAAATAGTGTTTTCTTTGTTAAGTAACCAAAAAGCAATGGCAATTTTACCATCAATATAATCTGACACACTTTCTGACCATTTTGCAATGGCGTTACCTAGAGGGTTGGATCAGCTTGGCAGCTATTAACCAATTTAAGCTGACTTTAGGTATCCTATAACCTTCAAGTTCTTGGGTACTGCCTCTGGTCATTATATTCAGAGCAATAGAAGAATCTAGGTACTTCAAAGTAGATTATCTAACAGTAAATATCAGCCAAGCCATTAGTTGATCCTCAACTAAAGAAGGGGATTATGCAGGAAAACAAGGGAATGATTTTCTTTACATCTCCACCTACATATGGTATTCATCAGCTATTATTCAGAGGTCATGTTTTTTTAAACAACAACATAGGTTTATTAGCTTTTTAGAAAAAACAGCCCAAACCATAGTTGATGACAGAAGGACTGAATAGTAAAGCAACGGAGATAGAGCCAGCTCATGCAATTGTCCCACAACTTAGTTGCCAGCTGTTGTACAAGATGCATTTGAATGCAATTTGAATGTCCTTTTGAATGGTCTTGCAGAAGACCATGAACCTGTTATTCCAAAGACTATGGGATTAGCACTCCTCTGGAACAGCAATGAATCCATGTTCAGAATCACTCCAAACAGAGGCTGATAAACCAAAAGTTGTCCCCTGCAACTGCATACAGTATATCATCAGGTATATTTGCTCTGATAGTTATTTGGTCTGATCCTACTTAGGTGCACATATCTGATAGGTAAAGTCTTTCTTCTTCATCTGTTGCTTTTCCAAACTTGGTTTCTAGACTGGGTGCGGAGGTAGGTAATAGGTGGAAGGAGTTTTAAAAACTGGTTAAACCTGTCAGTCCAGTCATCCATCAAACCATTGACATTATAGCAGTGCTGTATTGATGGATCTGTTTCCCAACAACTGATGACAGTGAAAATGGAAGGGTAGGAGGGGCAGTCTTCCCTGCATAAGAAATGAGGACATCTTTGACAGCTAGCCAGAATAGAAACCACATTAACTGGAGATAAGCCCTTAGATGCAGTTTAGTTGTTAATGCGCTTGTATAAAACTTTTTTTTTTTTTAAAAAAAAGGAGGGCAGGGCATTTGCCAAAAGGAATGTAATGCTTAGTTACTATTTACATGTTTATTCTTATAATTTTCTTAATAGTATAGAATATATAAAGTTATATTTGTGTAAGTAACCAAAGGAACCATTGAGAGTTAAACAATATATCCGAAGCTCTCAGAAAGTTGAAATAAATAATTCAGTTATTGCTTCTTCATTGGTACATATAAAGAGTGTCACATAGAGATAAAAAGGATAAATCAACAGTGTGCATCCATTGGGCATAGGGAATCATTTAAAATAAAAGAATAACACCAAGTAATAGACAGTCATTGTGGCAATTTTTGTATGAGTTAAATATTAGCTCTATATTTGTAATTTTACTGTGATAACATTTAAAAGGCTTGCATCTCATTTAGTTATTACATCATTCTTTCCTAGCCACATACATATGTATATACATATAATGAACTATATATAACATTGAATGTGTGTGTGTGTGTGTATACGGTGTATATATATATATATATATATATATATATATATATATATATATATATACATACACACACACACACACACACACATCCTCACAAACACACATTCATATATATGATGACAAACTCACAAATTTTATAAATGCTTATGATTAATTATTTTGCAAAAACTGGTAAACTGGTTCACTGCATGTTTTAGACAAATTGCTTAAATGCAAGTCATTTGTTTCAACTATGCAGTGAAACAGTTGCTAGTCTCTGCAAAAGTAATGTATCATGGTAGAATAAACAGATTATGATAAAATGCTCCCTAGATAAAAGTACATACAAAATACTCTGGGACAGAACCAAGTTATTTATTTGTATAATTGCTTTAAAATGGGTAATCAAATTATGCGGACATGTGCTTATACTAACAGAATATGTAATCTTCAGAATAACATTATTGCATTTTATTGAGCAGAAAAAAAGAAAGCTATATTAAACACTACTAACATTAATTTATATTATATCATTTATTTATATCATTTATTTAAACTATTTATTTCCAAAAAATGCAATCAATAAAACAATATATTAACTCACATTTTCTGTGCAATGTATATTATGTAATTGAAAATAGCCTATAAGTGTAAGAAGTAGAATGTTTTAAATATAGGTATGATACAGTTTTCAATAGAGTGAGGTTATTTATTTATTTATTGTAATGGTACTGGGGTCAAAGGCTGACTTAATGACAGGCTGTAGGAGTAGTTGAAAACTTGTTTCATGTAGTAATTAAAGGCACCAAATAGAAACCAGAAATCTGTGAATTCTACTCCTGCCTTAGATACAAAACTGGGTGACTTTGGGCCTGTAACTCTCAGCCCTAGAAAGAAAGCAATGGCCAGCCACTTCTGAAATCTTGCCAAGAGAACTTTGAGCACCAAACCAGCTAGTCACTGGGAGTTAATACTGACTGGAAGGCCAAATGAAAAAGTAGCTTGTATTTGTATGTTGGTATGGGCTCAGGAGTTATTGAGGCCAGAGAGAATGTTGGAGTTGCAAGTGGCAGAAATTGAACTGAGAGTTGAACATTGACTGGAATGGGAAGAATGCCTTTTTGGACTATGTGTGTCCAGCTGCATGTAGTATTACACTGCAGATGGTCAACTGTTAAAGACTATTGTAATAGGTTGTTCTCACTAGTGGAATTAAATATGGTTCTTGTCAGGATGGACATGGTGTTTTATATATGATCAGGTTCATTTTTCATCAGAAGAAAAAATGGCCCGTGGCTGCTTTCCCTTTGGTATGTTGGAGCCACTTGCACCCAGATGAAGTTGCCCCAACCCTGTTGGCCTTTTGTAGACTATGAAGATCTGGCTTTTCTCTGGAGCATCAGGTCAGGGTGGTGATTGGAATGGCTTTAATACTGAACGATTCTGGGCTGGGTCTTTTGGAGAGCTGATTTTGTTTTAAAGGTACATAAGCTGCTCAGAGTTGAAATTTGAGAGTTGGATTGCTATCTTAATGGAAATAAATAAGCAAATAAGCTCTAGCAACATTTAGTCTGCAATCTGGAAATAATTTAAGTATCAGTCACTCACTATATTGGCTTAATTCAGACTTAGTTGTTAGTAATTCAGATATTCTGCAGAATAAGGCATGGGGATTCATAGATAGAAAAGAAAGTAACATCAACCTATTTGATTCTCTTCTAGAAATTAAATGTATTTTTTGTCTGATATCTGTATATATTGATATATGGATGCTCTCTGAATGTATTACCACAATTCTAGTAAGGATCTGAATATCACAGTCAAAGTAGGGTTTGTTTTTGACATTGCCTGAATTCTGTTGAAATGAATAATTGAAATGAACAATATTTTTACCACAGCATAGTGAGGATTGTTAACTAAGGAAATTCTTGATTGTTGCATTTGCATTGCCTATTTATTTCTATTATGTTGATGTTATTATTATTCTCTGGCTGATATAATAAATTGGTTTATTTCTAGCCTTTTCACCTACTTGTCCAGTTATACATCTTCCTGAAAGAATAGATTGCATCTCAGATCAAGTGGCAACAAAGGTAAGAAGTGCATACAAATGAAATAATAACAATAACTTAATGGTTAAGAATTATTAAATTATTAAATTTCCACCAATTTTAAACTGAGTACGGGTACTCCTCAATTTACAACAGTTCATTTAGTGACCATTCAAAGTTACAATAGAACTGAAAAAAGTCATTTATGACCATTTTTTCACCCTTATGACTGTTGCAGCATCCCCATGGTCATGTGATCAAAATTCAGATGCTTGGCAACTTACATTTATGATAGTTGCAGCATCCCAGGGTCATTGTGATCACCTTTTACAACCTTCTGACAAGCAAAGTCAATGGGAAAGCCAGATTCACTTAACAACGATATGATTAACTGAACAACTGCAGTGATGCACTAAACAACTATGGCAAGAAAGGTCGCAAAACCCAACAACTGTCTCACTTAGCAAAACAAAATTGGGATCAATTATGGTCGTAAGTCGAGGACTACCTGTATAACTGTAGATTACCTTCAAATAATAATAGAACAGCAAAATAGAAGAGAAAGAGATGGAGAAAATCAGAAAATAGAAAGGCCTGCAAACAGAAGTCAAATGACTATGCTAAAAGAAACCACAGGTAGTACCAATAGTAGTAGGTGCCTTGGGTGCAATCCCAAAACATCTGAAGCACCATTTGAACACCATCATGATTGACCAAAAAAAAAAAAATCCATCAATTACAAAAGGCAATTTTATTTGAATCTGTATTGATACTTTAATACCATCCAAGAACAATATCTGCTTAAGCCAGGTCCTTGGGAAGAATTCAATAGCTGTATAAAAATGCCAAACTTCTGGCTAATCAGAGCTTCTTTTTATTTATTTATTTATTTATTTATTTATTTATTTATTTATTTATTTATTTATGAGACTTATATACCTCTTTAAGTGCAAGCACTCTCTAAGCGGTGTACACCAGTAAGCAATGTATATATATATTTACATTGCCCCCAACAATCTGGGTCCTCATTTTACCTACCCCGGAAGGATGGAAGGCTGAGTCAACCTTGAGCCGGTGAGATTTGAACTGCTGACCTGCTGAACACAGTCAGCTAAAGTGGCCTGCAGTACTGCACTCTAACTGCTGCGCCACCTCAGCTCATGTAGACAAGAGTTTTTAGACAAGAGTTGCTGAAAATATAAATTTAGAAGTTTGGGGTGATATTTTTTATAAAAGAAAATTTGCTCCCTTTCCTCCCCTTCCTCCTATGTAAAGCAATCCTAAGAAAATACTGTAGTTTGCAAGGGTACAAAGTGGTTAAGAAAGGGGGAAAAAATCCATGACTAATCTAGAGATAAATTTGTGCTATTGTTCAAGTCAGAGTAAAAGTTTTATGTGTATATTGTTCATTGGTATCATTTTGGTTAATGAAAAATATTTATTTTCCACACTGGTGAAGATTACCTGTTTAAAGGGAATATTTGCAAAGGGTTGGAACGGTCAATAGAATTGATCATGCTTATTGAAAAAAGCTTGGCAGCCCTACTTATTTCTTTATGCATGCATGCAATCACTTCTAAAGGCTCAGGAAGGTTTACAAATGTCATGTTGTTTAAACCATAGCATGTGTCATGATTTAGTAAGCTAACAGACTGAGTTATTTGTTGGCACTCAAGTAGAGCATTCATGTAGCTTTTTGTGCCTTCACCAATATGCCTCCCCATTCTTCCCAAGTTAATAAGCTTATGCAGAGGAGTCTGAAATGCTGTAGGAGAATTTTAAGAAAAAATAGAAGAAAACAGAAAAAAATGTGTGGCAACAGAGGGAAAGAGGTAGCAGGAAAGAAAAGTTGAAGAAGAAATCATTGTCATTGCCAGTATAGTCAACATTTTGTAGGTGGAAAAAGTTGGAATTGCTATTTTATGGGTCACCACAAAAATGCTTTAGGATTGCATGGAGAGGAATGGTGTTTGGGTAAACTCCAACAATTATCAGAGATGGGGAAGCCAATTATACACAATTTTCTTCATGAATACCCTGATTTAGTTTAATAAAGACTAAACACAAATGAAGACAAATATATGTGTCCCAGGATAATGTTGCAAGATCCAATCTAGGTCAGTTACCAGGACCAGAGATTTAGTCTTTTGAGCTTTTGGACTCATGCTGGACCCCATCCTCAGAAAACTTCTCTCTACCAGAATATGTGTTTTGGGCTATTCTATGCTTTGTATTTATGTGGTGCCTTCCTTATGTGGTTGACTGATGTGTTGATGGCAGAAGATTGGCTGTTGTTTCCTTATGCTATTGTTTCCTGTGCTTCCAAATCCTTGGCACTTAAGTACTTGATAAGCTGGTGGTAAATCAGCACTCCTGTTGACCAACAAAAGGCTTGTTTCTCAGGCTTCAATCATTTCCTTAGCTATCTCTGTATCTACACTGCCAACAATCTGCAAAATTGAATGTACGACTTTGTTCATTGCAGTCTGAGACTACCAATTAGTTTGTGTCTCCTTGTTTGACTGCTCAGACTTTGAACACAATTTTTTTACCTATTATTATATGCTACTTATTAAATAGACAGAAAGGAATCTTCCTCTACGTAGCTGTAAAAGAAATTATTTACTTTTTCAGTAAACCATCACTAAGGTTAACAGCAGCTTGTCAGCTCTTGATCATGCAAGTTTATTTAAGCAAAAGTTTCAGAATCCTTCATGGCCTTTAATACACTGGAAGAACCTGTGGTGGAGGAAATTAGTTTATCATGATATTGAAATGCAGCCAGTGATACAGAACTTTGGATCAATAGACTGCATGACAAAAATCTTATTTTGAAAGTCATTACTTTATTTTCATTAAAAACAAGTTGTTTCATTAAAAGAAGTCAAGGACATAAGTTTAACTCTCATGTCAGCTTCAGCACTATATAATTTAATACTTATACATAAATACCTGAATAGAATAGTTTTCACATACCAGGAAATAACCAGCTTGTATAGTTTAAGCCAACTAGAAAGCCATTGAGTTCACTAAGCTAGAGTAGTCTTGTTCAGTAATGATATTCTCGCAGAAGGTGCCTGTAAGGAATAGATGATAATACATGCTGTTGGTTTTTAGAAGGTTCCCTATATATTCAAAGTTGTCTTTTTTAATCCTGTAATTATTAGAAGAGGAAAAGCTTTTTTCCATATGTAAAAGATGAATCTAGTAGGCAGAAACCAACAGTGCATAGTCCACATGGAAATATTGTATTTAAAAGCACCTGCCAATCTTAACACAGAGAAACAGCCCAATGACTGTTGATTCAAGAGGATAGGAGAGTAGGTTAAGAGGATTCTGGGGTTCTCAGAACACAAAGAGTACATTTGTCTGTTTGTCCATCCATCTATTAATTCTCTCTCTCTTTTATCACCTATCTATCTATCTATCTATCTATCTATCTATCTATCTATCTATCATCTATCTGTCTATCATCTATCTAATATCTGATATCAAGCAACTTGCAATATTGACCAGTGGAAATTTTATTGTTGCCAGGATTTAATTTCTGTAGAGGAAATATTTATAGCTGTTTCTGGCCTCAGCCTATGGTTCCAGTGATGGTAGGAGCATTTGCGGCTGTGACTCCTAAGCTGGGACAATGGTTCCAACAGATCTGAGGGACAATATCAGAGCTCTCTGTCCAGAAGAGTGCAATGCTAGGAACAGTTAAGATACTGTGCGGAAATCTCAAACTCCCAGGCCTGAGATTGGGAAAGACACATTCCACCCATAGATTGAAAAGATAACTTTTTTATAAGAGTGATGACAGTTATTATTTAATGTGGTAATTTGGAACACCAAAAGATTTGTTCATCAAAATGTTAGCACCTGTTTTTCCCCCATGAAGTGGCCTTCCCTTCTGAAAATGAAATACTTTTCATAACCACTTCCTACACACTTTTTTTTTGAAAAATTGGGTAGCGTATGTATATGTATGGGGGGAGGGAGACCATTTGCTGCTTAGGCAACTAGCTTGATACTCTGATTCAGTCAAATGTGTCAAAAGGGAATGGGGAAGTGTATTCTGTTGCTAATTTGATTGTGTATAATAGTCCACGTTTAGTTACGCCTAACTGCATGTGATTCCTCTTAGACTATATTTGATAATGAAACTTGAAGTAGAGAATACTAAACTAGTAAATCCTTATAACTTTTTTTTATGCTTTTCAAGAGAAGACATGGGAAAACTTTCCTTGTTAATCAGAGGTTCACATTACTAATTCAGAATTGTGATCCTGCAGTGTTATTTTGTTAGCTAAAGGAATCAAGTGATGGGGATTGGGATTGTTCAAGGTAAAACATTATTTCTTTAAAAACAAAACAAAAATAAGCAATCACAAAGTCTATATAGAGCAGGGGCCTCCAAATTTGGCAACTTAAAGACTTGCAGCCTTCAATGCCTAGAATTCCTCAGCCAGACAATTTTAACAAGCATCAAAAAGCTAAATAGGGTTAGGCCCTATTAGGACCTGGATGGGAGACCAACAGGACCAATATACAGAAGGGCAGTCTGGAAAATAAAAAAATATCCTGCAAAAAGTAAAAGATAAAGCCCTGTAACCCCAAAAAATTGAATGGACAATGTAGTGGGAACAGTTGAATTCAATTTTAAAATGTAGGTTCTTTTTTTCTTTCTTTTAAGAGGAAATTATGGGAGCACCAGCAATATACAGGTTATTTTTTTACAGTTTTTTTCCCCTTAAATCCCATTAAATAAAAAATAAAACAAAACTTTTCCTAAAATTAGAAATAGCATAATTTAATAAATATGTGCATGTTAACTGAGGAACATATTAGAATTAATAAGCATATTTACAATTCAGAGAGTACTTTTGAAGTTAGTCATGGAAAAGTTAATGTCATGTATTTAATAAAGCTACACAAGAATTTAGCTCCAAAATATGTTTTCCTTCTAATCTGTAATTCTTTTGTGATAAGAGATCAACTTTTCAGTTAAGAAACATTTACATTAGTGATTAAGAACTTTTATTTAAATTAATTGTTTGTAATGTCATATAAGAGGAATCACGTAGATTCTGGGATAACATCCAAATGATGGCTGGTACTTGATTCTTGATTAATACAAAACTCTCTTTAAAGACCAGTTATGAAAAAAGAGATTAGTGAATCAAAGGAATGAGTGAAGACTTCATCTTTGAATGTATTGCCAAATGCATTTTAGCAAAAACTTTTGCAGTCAATAATTTGTGTATGTGTGTGTGTGTGTGTGTGTGTGTGTGTGTGTGTGTGTGTATCATTCTTGTGTGGGAAGGCTGAATACATAAATATATACAAATGTAAATGCTTGTGGGATAACTGGCTCCTGTAACTTAGAAAACCGAGATAATATTTTTTAAAATACCATCAATGTCTTTCTATTTCTGCTTAGTGATGAATGGAACCAGCCGAATTTGCTTCAGAATTAATCCAGACCCAAAGTAATTCCTTAAATGTATGAAGAATGCTAAGTATGAAAGATGTTGTTCTGATATAATGGAAAAATGATATAGCATTCTGAGCTTCTTTCTCTTCTAAAATACTTAATAACTAATATGTTACTAATTAGTTGGAAGATCCTTTTTATTTCCCATAAAAAGTCTCTATGCTGCTTATGAAATTAATCATTTCAAGTACAGGTTTAAATTAATATTTCTTCTTTATTTCCCCAGCAAATTTAACATTTGAGTATAGATTCAAAAAATGCTGGAAAAAAGAGGTGTTACTGAGGAGGGAATATATGCAACTGTGGCCTTTCTTCTTAATTTGTCAGTCCTTTGGGATTTGAGAGAGTTAAAGTAGGAAATGGGTATTTAATACTTATTTCCAGAAAAATCTGAACGAATAATTCTTGAAAAAGTCAGATACTATCTATCTGCTTACTCAAATTTCCCTCTATAAATCAAAGATTTATTTGGCATAGTGCATTGGCTTGGCATTCCTGAAAGATAGGTTTTGCAACATTCTGACATTGGACTAGGAGGCAGTGAAATAAAGCTTTTGAGACATGTAAAGTTGTACTTGCCATCATATAAGGACTGTTATCTATTTATACAACCTCTTCCAGCAAACATTAGAAGATGCATGGCTCACTGTGATCAGTAAATGCACACAAGTCATCAATAACATTGCACAGTTCTACATGAGAACTAAAGTATATGTTTATAGTAAATATAAGCCTCAGGTGAGATGGGCATCAAACAAATTTAATAAATAAATAAAAATAAAGTTCTAATTCCATAGTATAAAAAAATAATACAAAAGAAAAGACAGAGGGAAAAAACAATGAATTAACTAAATACAGAACGAACAAAAATAATTACAGAAAGCAAAAATAACTCTCAGATAAAATCCAAGTTAGCTGCCCACACTCAGCCAGCTGGGACTTGAAGTTCATTGAAATGCAACAATCTATTTATGGAATTGCATCAAAGGGGAGACTGCCTATACTTGGTGGTGAGGGGAGAGAGTACTCTGTAATTCTCATCTAGTTCCTATGATAAAGATTTCTGATAAGAGTAAAGAACCATTCAAGAAGACTCAGTTTTTTGCCATTTAATATCAAAAGCCAATTTAAACTCTGCAGAGGGATTCTTTGTTCACGTAGTACATCTTTCAGTCAGATGGTATAAAATCAGGTCTTCTCTGTCTGTTCATCTGCAATGATTTCCTCATTATCCATCCAGTCCTTGAATTTATCATAAAGGTGCTTTCTACATAGCTTTCCCAATAGGCTTAGGAAACTAATGGAATAATAGTTAATTAGATCAAATGTGAGCCCTTTCTTGTGAACAGGAACAATTACAATCATATCAGTCTTCTGAAAACTATCCAGAGGAGTTAGTAAATGTGAAGAAGGCAGCCAGAATTGGAATCCACTAGTCAGCATTATTCTTTATAATTTCTGCAGGACTACAATTTTCAGCCAACGGCTTTGCTGCTTTTCAGCTGGCCTGTCAGCCTTTCACCTTCTGAATTGTAATTGGAAAACATCTTGGTGGTGAATTTCCAAGTCATGACTCTGTTTGGACTAGCTATTGGGATTAATATCCATTGCTGTGACGTGTGGTGAAGATATTACTTAAGCTGCATCATTGAAATAGTTTGTGTAGTTGTACATTTCTCACACCCCAAAATGATATCCCCATTGTATGAAAGGAATAGGATCTATTCCTGTTTTGGTCCAGTTATTGGAAGAAAGTGAATTTCCATATTTCCTTTTACTAAAGGTTTGTCAGGCTTTTGGCAGCTGACTGAACTGAATGTATTTTTTTCCCCAGTTCTCAGAGTTCCCTTTAAAAGGTGTATTAAGTTTGGAAGAGTAGCAGCACACATTTTCCAGCAAGTGAATTAATTTTAAATTTAGAATTAATCCCAAAGTATATTAAGAAAGAGACTTTACTAGTCATTTTTCCACACCCTAAGTAGGAAAGGAAGTTCTTTTTACTGATAACAGATAGGTTAGCTACTATTGCTAATGTAACAGTTGAATGTTTGTAAGTCTGAAAACCAACTCTTACTGGTAATTTGGACCACCTATAAGTACAAATGTATTTGCAAAATAAATCAAATATATGAAAACTATAAATCCACTTAAAAAGTCAGTGATAGTTGATTTCAAACTGTGCAGCTTGCTTGTCATTAATGATTACACACATGCTATTGTCCAAAAATTAATATGGAGTTTATTTTGATGGTCACTTCTGATTTCCTTTTATTGCTGATGATACAGGATCTGTGTGTACTCCGTGGCTGTTGCTGGGATCCTCAGAATGAAACACATGTACCTTGGTGCTACTTTTCAAAAAACCATGGGTACCAAGTTCAAGGAAGCATATCAGATACAAATTCAGGTAAGCAAAAGAAACCTAATTTCCAGACTGATTAAATATTTATAGGCATAAAACATGCCCAGATCATGAAAATAAGGCAATGAATATAAAATGTAATATAAAAATATTTTCAGCATATGGGTAAACTTAATGCTTAATCTCTTTCTTACTATTAATCTTAAAATTGGATAGATCAAGTATCTTTTTCATGTCTGCACCAATTAATATGGGAAAGAGAAACAGCCTCTCCTAAATTTTTAAACTTTCTGAGTTAGGAGGCTAAGTTAGCATGTTTGTTAAAAACCTTTTGCTAGTTAATAAGAAGTTGGGGTTTGTAGTTATTTTAGCTAGGAGGTAGAGTTAAAATTGAGGATTTGTTTTCTATATTTTTGTCATTTCTAAATATAAAATGAATAGATATAAAAAATAAATTATTTTTCCAGTATTTTGTTATGCATTGTTTGTTTACTATGACTACCATAAATAAATAAATAAAACTAATTGTTAATTGAGCACCATAAAAATGGGATATTAATGATTCACATGGATCTGAGAACCCACAAGTTGTAACAGAACTAGGAAAGTATCTGAGAATGTTTCCAGGACTTAAGATGATCTTCCTTTTGCTTCATGTACAGATCCAGTGTTTTTTAGAACCTTACAAATTAAGCAATTTTTTTTTTGAAACCTGGTCCATTAGCAAACAGAAGTCAATGCAGTTCGTTTAATCCTTGTAAATTTATCAATGACTAAATGCAATGCATAAAATTCCTATAGCTTTTTTCAGGAGCAGCAGCTTCCATGCAATGGAGAAAGGCAGTATAGGTTCAAAGCCTGTTTTGCTCTATAATTCATTGTCTGATTCAACTTCCTTTATTTGATTGTTACGTAAAAAAAAAAAGAAGCTGGTTTGAAAAATGCTTCAGATATGTTGAATGCAGATTTAATCTAAGGGCCAAAGTGGACAGAACAGTTTATCAGTAAACTGCATGCCCTACTCTTTTACTTTCCTTTGTCCTGGAAGAGGAGTACTTAGTAGACCACAGATTACTACTGTTATTGTCAATACTGGAAGTAACAGCCTTTCTTCCTTCCCTCCCTTCTAGGATTTGAAGCTACTCTAGTAAGACTACCTTCTCCGTCCCTGTTTGGAAGTGATATTGAAAAGGTTCACCTCATCACGGAATACCAAACAGCACACCGATTTCATTTTAAGGTTAGAATGTTTTTTTTAAATGAAATATGTTCAACCAGAAAATCATGGAATGTGAGTGGTAGCAACTAAACCTATTAGGTGTCAATGCTGCAAATACTGTATATTCTTGCTTTGACAATATGCAAAACTGTCTGGCATTTATTGGGTTAATACTTAGCTTAGACTGAGCGGGGAAAAAGCCCGGGAAAGAAAGAGGAAGTAAACATTTGACCTTCTCACTAATTGGATAATGTGACCTGTGACTGCATGAGAAGGGAGGGGTTGAGCAAGGAAAGCTTGATGCCAGCGACAGGAAGTTCAGATTCTGGCATTAACCAGTCCAACATGGTGACCGGCAAAAATTGTAGCTCTGCAAATAAAGACTTTAGGAAACATGCCTGAAAGTTCTTTGAAGTGCTTCATTAGTCGGAACATGTGACATTAGGACTCCCTAATGAAGAGATGAATGAATGACAAGCTGATACCATAATGTATCATTGGGCTAAATATCACTGTGCAGAAATTGCAGGCAAATGTCCTATTTTCAGTCTGTACAATGTCATCATTTTTTCTAGATATTCTAGATCTGGATTGTAAAACTCCAGCTGTCCATTAGATAACAGCAAAGAGATATAGAAAGCACTAAATCTTTGCTAGCATATGGTAAACATCTGGAATTTTGCAGCTCAGATCTATTCTGTATCTTCAAAGATAAAAATAAAATATTCATTTGAAAGGGTGTGTTGTCCAATTATAGAATATTGTATTTAAAACAAAACCAATCTTAAGATTTATAATCTTAAAGTAAAATGTTCTGCATCTTAAGGCTAATTAGTATAAGCATACTGTGTCCTATTTCATATTTATTTAGGAACAAGCTACTTAAAATATATATTGAAAGGTACTTTCTACGAAAATATATTCCAGGAAAAACTGCCTTAAGTTCATCATTTCATGTTAGTTCATAGCCAATATGAAATTTTTCAGGACATTTCAGATATTCACTGAGAAATCCCTCTGTTTGGTTTGCCAGATTTAATTCTATTAGTAAAAAGCAGGTATGAAGCCTTTATACTGTAAACTTTTGAATTGAATGCCTGTGATGATGTAGCAATAGCAATAGCACTTAGACTTATATAACGCCCCATAGTGCTTTATAGCATCTCTGGGCAGTTTACAATGTCAGCATTTTTCCCTAAACAATCTGGGTCCTCATTTTACCAACCTTGGAAGGATGAAAGGCTGAGTCAACCTTGACCTCTGTCAAGATGCATCCAGTTTTGGTCACCACGATGTAAAAAAGATGTTGAGACTCTAGAAAGAGTACAGAGAAGAGCAACAAAGATGATTAGGGGACTGGAGGCTAAACATATAAGGAACGGTTGCTAGAATTGGGTATGTCTAGTTTAACGAAGAGAAGGACAAGGGGGGACATGATAGCAGTATTCCAATATCTCAGGGGCTGCCATAAAGAAGAGGGATTTAAGCTATTTTCCAAAGCACCTGAAGGCAGGACAAGAAGCAACGGGTGGAAACTAATCAAGGAGAGAAGCAACCTAGAACTAAGGAGAAACTTCCTGACAGTGAGAACAATGAATCAGTGGAACAGCCTGCCTCCAGAAGCAGTAAATGCTCCAACACTGGAAGTTTTTAAGAAGAGACTGGACAGCCATTTGTCCGAAATAGCGTAGGGTTTCCTGCCCGAGCAGGGGGTTGGACTAGATGACCTCCAAGGTCCCTTCCAACTTTACTACTATTACTATTACTAAGATAGAACTCCTGGCTGTGGGCATAGTTTGCCTGCAATACTGCATCCTAACCCCTGCACCATTGGGGCTCAGTGTAGGATTTGATACATAAAAAATGAAGCATTTCATACATAAAAAATGAAGCATTCCGCAAGTCTGAAAACTGTTTTTAACATACTTTAAAGGTTATTGAAAGTCATTGCTTTGAATTTCTGATAACAAGATGATGAAACAACTAAAAAGATGATTTTGATTTTTGGGAACACAGAATGCTTAGTCAGTCTAGAAATTTGCAGCTATGGAGATTTCTCTAACAAATACCATCTTTTACAACACAAGAGACTGTAAAGATCAGAGCACAAATACATTGAAACACAACTTTTGATATCAGAACCCAAAGCTTAAAGGGGTGGAGTTACAAGTCCTCTTTATGGTCTTACACAAATCATATTTTATTTGTTTGGTTACAATAGTGTACATTTTATTGTCCATAGACAACACCTCAATCTAATCAATTATGGGAATTCTATATCTTTATTGAGTAGTTGGATTGATTAATACTTAAAATAAATAATAGGAGATGTAGAAGATGAAACAATACATCCTTTATATTCATCCCTTACATTTGAAAGAAGGTCCCTAGAATTTGTCTAAAGCTTTTACCTATCATATTAGTGCTTGCTATATTATCTACTGATAACTATCTGAGGATGCTTAAAGCATAGTTGCTTTCTGGCATCTTATTTGGACCAAAAAAATATAAGTGGGTTGGGGTTTGATGTTGGATCCTTATTTTTTATTACAAGACTAATATAATTGCATTTATTAAATCTGACCCAGGTTTCACCAATTAAGAATCTTTAATATGAGGGAAAGTTGTGCATTCACTATGTCAACATTTATTTTATTTTAAACTTTATGGTTTTAACAGATTACAGATCCTGCCAACAAAGATAGATATGAAGTCCCACATGAAAACATTCAACCTTTTCAGGGATCTAAAGCAACCAATTTAATGTATCGTATAGAAGTCACAGAAAATCCTTTTGGAATCAGTGTGATCAGGAATAGCAATAATAAAGTCCTGTAAGTTATATTTCCTGGGTTTTTTTTTATAGGAAACCCACAGTTCATAATTGTTCAACCACTTCCCCACCCTAAGATTAATTATTTAGCAATTCTCAAATCTCAGACTCCTTTTACGTTCTTAAAAATGACTGAGAATCTCACACAGCTTTGATTTATGTGGGCTACATCTGTCAATATTTATTGTATTATAAATTTATATTGAGAGATGTTTTTTATCTTTACAGACTCTCTGAAAGGGTCTCAGGAGCTCTCAGAGGTACCCAAACTACACTTTGAGAACTGTTGCTAATATATTGACAATTAATTTTAAAACACTTTAAAAAAAAACGCAGTAAATGCAGTTATTTGAACTGCACACATGTGTAATAGAAAACATCTCATAGACCATAAGATGCTTGCATGTTCAACAGGGTCATAAGAAAAGACTCTAAATCAGAAAATGTTTTTGCACTTTTCATACCAGATTTTGTTATCTGTAGCTCTGTTGTTCAACATGAAATGTAAGTGCATTCAGTATTCATTGTTCCTACACACTTAGGCAAGAATCAGAAATAACCATCCTTCTGGGAAGTTTGACTGCCATCATTTATTTATGTAATGTCCTTATCACAATATTGAAATGGGATAATTAAAACAATACATCAGCAGCAGTCAAGAAAGTGAGCAATGCCTGTTAAGGAATAAAGACCTATTATCTATTCTTCCAAATGTTTCCGGTGTCCTGTAGTGTCCTGTCTCGGTGACTATAGCTCTTTCTGTGACCCAATTTTGAGCTTTTATGTCACTAAAGACAAATGCTGATCTTTTGCTTAGCCTTTTTTTTTCTTCACAAGGAATGCTTAGTATGAATACAATGTGAATTAAATGCATTTTTTATAAAAAAAAGTCCAGTTTATGAAAAGCATAATACATTTGATAATTCAAACAGCTTCAACACCAGTATAGGACCTCTCATATATGCGGACCAGTTCTTGCAGCTTTCCATTAGAGTGCCTAGCTGGAATGTTTATGGCGTAGGAGAACATGTGCATAGACAATATCGGCATGATTTTAACTGGAAAACATGGCCTATCTTTACCCGGGATGCTTTTCCTAATGGGGTAAGTATCTTCTTCTGATTCTGCATCTTTGGTGTTGGACTCTAAAGCATTAAAATAAATGAAAATGCAATAGATTCTGTATCAATGAAAGGATAATACATATTTTTGAATTGTAATTCCATTTTTCACAAGAAGTGTGATTCTGACATTGCTATGAATAACATGATAGGACAGCATTACATGATATTTAAAATTCAGGCAAGGCATAAAGGAGAACCACAAAGGAAGAAAGCACAGCTCACTTGCTAGAAATACAGGTAATCCTCAAATTATGACCACAATTGAGCCCAACATTTCTTTTGCTAAGCAAGATAATTGTGAATTTTGCCCCCTTTCATGACTTTTCTTGCCATGGTTGATAAGTGCAGTTGGTATGTTAGTAACATGATTGTTAAATGAATCTGTCTTTTCCATTGATTTTGCTTGTCAGAAGATCACAAAAGGTGACCTGGGACACAGCAATTGTCATAAATACACGTCAATTGTCAAACGTCCAATTTTGTTCACATGACTATGGAGATGCTGCAACAGTGTAAAAAAATGGTTGTATTTTTTTAGTGGCATTGTAACTTTCAATGATGGAGGAGGAGGAGGAGGAAGAGGAGGAGGAGGAGGAGGAATTATAAGGATATAGTTCTAGGTTCTGTCCCAGATTTTTTCAAATTTGAATAAAGACAAATATTGTGTATTTTAATTTTCTTTTACTTTCTTACTTTGCAATCTGGTCTTCAAAAAGAGTTTTCCCAATAGAGCTTGTAGCACATTAAATCAAATAACACCTCTCCGTCTCCCAGAATAAGTAAAAATAATATAGAAACACACACACACACACACACACACACATACACAGACATATCTTCAGAAATAATCTTATGTCAAGTGCCTGCATAAATTATATTGTTATAGAACCAGTAGATCCACTGATTTTAGATAGTAGTGCAAGAAGCAGATTAACAATACATACTTGAAAACACTGAATGTCATTATCTGTGGTCTAAATTCAAGGACATATGCTGTGTGGTTCTTTACTCAAATTAAAGGTCATTTCAATACTTAGGACAGTGGTGGTGAACCTATTGCACGCGTGCCAGAGGCGGCACTCAGAGCCCTCTCTCTGGGCACGCGCACCATGCCCTGGAGATGGCAACTGTCAACCAGCTGCCCACTAACTCACTGAGGTCCCATATTGCCAGATATATTCCAGCATCCATGTGCTCACTGGCCTCTGTGTGCAGGGGCCAATGGTGTCAGGCAGCAGCCGTCCCAGCCCCTGCCTCACTTTGCCCTGTGACAATGGCACCCCACCCTGCCTCGCCTTGCCTTGCCTCACCCTGCAGGACAAGCCTCCTGTCCACACCCCATCTGCCAGAAACCCCTGGATCTCCCCCAACCTTGCCCGGCCCCCACAGGCATCCCTCCCCATTGAGGTGATCACGCCCACCTTGGCCACACCCACCCAATCTGCCATGACCACCACAGCCATGCCCACCCAATGAGCCACGACTACCTGGCACCCGGCAATAAATAAGTGGGTTTTGGGTTGCAGTTTGGGCACTCAGTCTCTAAAAGGTTCGCCATCACTGACTTAGGACTTCAGTATTCATATATTGTTGTTATTTCCTTCAAAGGATATGAGTAACCTGTATGGTGCCCAGACTTTCTTCTTATGTCTGGAAGATAAGAGTGGACATTCATTTGGAGTATTCCTTATGAACAGTAATGCCATGGGTAAGGAAATGATTTATGATTTTGATAAAAATCATATGGCTTTCTTTATATAATTTTCTACACATGTATTTATATGATAAATGCACAAGAGGTAATCAGCAGGTATGTCTTATACTATACATTTTTCATCCAATACATTTATTCTGAGAAAGTTGTATTCCAATTACATTGTTCTAACTAACAATAGTGAGAATCTAATTGTGTAACAGTGTGATCCTATCTATTCAAAATTAAATCCTTAATCTTGGTGAGGCAATGTCATGGTCGGTTAGCAAATATAAGATTACTGCTTTTCCTTCTCAAATCACACTAGGTCCATTTGTAAGCATTCTACCAAGGCAGCATAAATATTTATGATGAATTCCATATTGCTTCTATGTTGTTTTTCTTCTAGATGTGTTTCTATGCAGCTCTACTAAAATGTGTTTTCAGTGAAGTTTTACAGTTAAATAATGTTCTCTAAAGTATTTTTTTATAGATGTTAAAAGTTAATTGACCTATGTCTATATGGTTAAATTGGAATCCTCAACATACAGTAATTTCCACCTTTAAATCACTCAATCTCTCTAAACATTCAATCTTTATGAGATTCTCAAGGAACAGTTAAGAATAGTTTTGGACTACTGTTTAATAGGTTTCAGAGATTATAGATCAATGATTATTATAGCCACTCAAAGTCAACTGGAATGGGTAGATATAATAGATTTAAATAAATAAATATAAATAATAGTTGATTAGCCAAGGTCAGTGTGGTTTCATGCTTTGGCCTAATAGGCGAGAAAAAACTTCTTGGAGTGAGAAATGTAAATCCATTCTAATTTGTGAAGAAGCTGAACTTTTATATGCTACGTATAAATTATAAAATTCTATTGAGGATAAATATAACTATAATGGATAACTGTTCCTACTAACTCAAAAATTTTTTATGAAAATTTCAGCTCATTTATTGCACTACCATTCTCTATATTAAAACAACTATTATCAGGATCAATATTTCTATTAGCATTATGTGGCATAATGGAAGTGTAATGTATGCAATTATTATATTGAGGATTCAGGTCTGCAGTCAGACTAGAAGTTGCTACAGAAGAAGGGAAAATCCTATCTGATTATTTTAAGACAGTTAAAAATTTAGAGGAAGATAAGAAAAATGTAGTAGGAGGATTAGCTAACCTGGCAACAGGTTTGACAAGAATCACTATTTTCCAATTAAAAGAAAGCAAGCTAAAGATCTATATGAAAAATTTCAAAATCCACAGCAGAGTAATAACTTTTATAAGATATCATCATCTACACGGACATTTCTAGCAAAACTTTTCAGTTTTTAATGTAGTTTTTACAAGCAAGATATTAACATCTGTAGATTTATACTATCTTCAAGAGATCTGGAAATCTTGGCTTAGTGCAAAATTTGTTAGACCATTAGAAGTATATTGGGATTCTTCTTACAACTGAGAATTCCAATGGAAAACTGAAATACTGTATGCAAAAACTTTGAAAGGCACATGCTGATCCAGGGAAGATTCCTATTCATTCATATATTAAATTTCCACAATAGTTTAGGAGTAGAAATAAAGATAATATTCTTGTATTTAAGTTTCAGTTAATTTTAAGAATTTCTCCTGACAGATTTTGCTCTTCAACCTGCTCCAGCTGTAACATACAGAACAATTGGTGGAATTTTAGATTTCTACGTTTTCTTAGGAAATACTCCAGAGCAAGTAGTCCAAGAATATCTATTGGTATGTTTTTCTATAATGTTTCTACTTGGTCCTTGATGATCTGTCATCTCATTATTTTAACAGACTTGTATAAGACTATTATTAATGGTAAATTGCTACTACTTTTGCAACTTTCAGTAACAATAAGTATCATGGATCTTAGAGGATAGGATAGGATAGGATAGGATAGGACAGCACAGCAAAGCACAGCACAGCACAGCAAAGAATAGAATAGAATAGAATAGAATAGAATAGAATAGAATAGAATAGAATAGAATAGAATAGAATAGAATAGAATAGAATAGAATTCTTTATTGGCCAAGTGTGATCAGACACACAAAGAATTTATCTATGGTGCATATCTGGCTCACTGTGTACATGTAAACAAGAAGGTCATAGGTCATAAATCACAATTACAGTCTTTTATCATAAGTTATAAACAACTTTTAAATCACAAGAATCAAACAGGAGAAGATAGTAGGAAAGAAGAGAAGATGAAAAATGAGAAAGAGTTGTGGGAATTAAGTGCTCAGCAGAGTGATAGCATGTGTCAGAATCCAATTATATTTCATCTCTAGTTATCAACTATGGAAAACCCCATTTCTGCCCTCTATGGATTCTGTCATATGATGAAGGGAAAGGAAGATGAACAAAGGGGTTTTATGGCCCTCACTTCCTTCAAAAGAGACTGAATGTGGATACCACCAAAAGGACTAACCATAACAATGTGGCCATTAACTTTCATCTGCTCCTCTCTGAAGTCTCCCTTCCACCGGCAGTGTGGACAAGGGAGGTGGAAATGTAACACATGAGATTGTCACTGGAAGGATGGTGGGGTGGGGTTGCTGGGAACCCCTTAAAACCTTGAACCATAAGGCTTGGCCCCCAAGTCCTGTCTAGAATGCCTGCAACCATTTTCTTTCAATAAAGATGCCTGTTGGAAGAAATATTCCAAGAGTTCTGTCTTCTTAAGATGCAAAGTGGGGTGGGTCCTTACAGCATGTCTGGTTGTTTTGGTATGCAATGCTCTATAGCAGTGTCCTTAGGGGACAAGTTGAAATAGATTATGTCCAGGATGTAAGAGGTATATAGATATTTTCTCATCCCTATTTCTGGTTCTTGCAGTACATAGATCCTCAATGGAAGGCAGGCTGATTGTGATTGTTTTTTCTGCAGTCCTAACTTTCTGTTGAAGTCTGTATCTGTCCTGTTTGGTTGCTGTGCCAAACCAGACAGATATTGACCTACAAATGACAGACTCAATAATTCTTCTGTAGAACAGCAGATCCTTGGGCAATCTGAGGCAATATTATTTATTGCACTATTATTTCTTGCCAAAATGATTTTTGCAAATAATTTTATTCTGTGTACATTAAATGCCATCAGGCCTTCTCTTGAACTTGGAAAGGTGGATAGAAGATGCAGTAAATAATATGTTATATAGCACTCTATTAAATTAAGGTGATCTATACCTCCCTTTGCTATATAGGCACTCCTTGACTTATGACCACAACTGAGCCCCAAATTTCCATTGCTAAGCAAGATAGTTGTTAAGTAAATTTTGTCTCATTTTACAAGCTTTCTTGCAGTGATTAAGTGAATCACTGCAACTGTTACGGTTCTTATGTAAATCTGTTTTTTCCATTGACTTTGCTTGTCAGAAGGTCACAAGGGGTGATCCCATGATCCTGGGGCCCTGCAACCATCATAAATAAATGCCAGTTGCCAAACAACTGATCATGTCACCAGGCGTGTTAATGGTGAACAATCATAAATTACTTTTTTCTGAGCCACTGTAACTTTGAACATCACTAAATAAATGGTTGTAAGTCAAGGACTACCTGTATAACAATTAATCTATAGCCTACCACTTGTGTGGTAAATATTCAAAAGACTTTACATTAAAATATTTTTTTTCTTAAGCACAACCTTTAAACAAGCCAAAATCCTGCTGAAATAATAATAATAATAATAATAATAATAATAATAATAATAATAATAGTAATAATAAAGTTGGAAGGAAACTTGGAGGTCATCAAGCCCAACCCCCTGCTCAGGCAGGAACCCTACACTATTTCAGACAAATGGCTGTCCAGTCTCTTCTTAAAAACTTCCAGTGTTGGAGCATTCACTGCGTCTGGAGGCAGGTTGTTCCATTGGTTAATTGTTCTAAATGTCAGGAAGTTTCTCCTTAGTTCTAAGTTGCTTCTCTCCTTGATCAGTTTCCATCCATTGCTTCTCGTGCTGCCTTCAGGTGCCTTGGAGAATAGCTTGACTCCCTCTTCTTTGTGGCAACCCCTGAGATATTGGAACACTGCTATCATGTCACCCCTTGTCCTTCTCTTCATTAAACTAGACATACCCAATTCCAGCAACCGTTCCTTATATGTTTTAGCTTCTAGTCCCCTAATCATCTTTGTTGCTCTTCTCTGTACTCTTTCTAGAGTCTCAACATCTTTTTTACATTGTGGTGACCAAAACTGGATGCAATATTCCAAGTGTGGCCTTACCAAGGCATTGTAAAGCTGTATTAATGCTTCACGTGATCTTGATTCTATCCCTCTGTTAATGCAGCCCAGCACTGTGTTGGCTTTTTTGGCAGCTGCAGCACACTGCTGGCTCATATTTAAGTGATTGTCTACTAGGACTCCGAGATCCCTTTCACAGTTACTACTATTGAGCAAGGTACCCCCTATACTATACCTGTACATTTGGTTTTTCTTGCCTAAATGTAGAACCTTACTTTTTTCACCATTGAATTTCATTTTGTTAGATAGTGCCCAGTGTTCAAGTCTGTCCAGGTCCTCCTGTATCTTAAGCCTGTCTTCTGGAGTGTTGGCTATTCCTGCCAGCTTGGTGTCATCCGCAAATTTGATGAGTTCCCCCTCAAAACTCTATATGTTGTTCATCGTTGTAAGAGTTGATTTGCTTTTCTTGAGAAGCTATTCTAGAAGGGAGCGCTGTTAAGTAAAAATGCCATCTGTATAAGTCCTTTCTGCTCTGTTTCTATCTAGTAGTAAGAGACAAATTCCAGAAGAGGAGTGAAATTGTCAGATTATTTTATAAAATATCCTTCTCTACAGTCACAATGTCCAAGTCACTTCAACTAAACCCAGAATCAAAGTTAATAACAGTACGAGAGTTAGTTGTTAGGACTAGTATTGGATGATTTGATGTACTCTTTCTAGATATAACCATAGCAGCTTGGAATTTAATCATAACAATCCAGTTAAGTTTAAAGGACTTTGCAGAACATGTTATAGTTATCTTTTATTGAACTAACAACATAAAATATTCATAGACATTATTTTAAGAAAGACATACCAGATACACAAGCAGAAATGACAAAGCCCCCCCCCTCCCCCCCGTTGTCACTGCCCTATGAATATCTTTCAGGATTAGATAAATATAATTCTGGCCTTCAAATCCTACATGTCATAAATATGTAACTCTCTTCCAAATATTCCATCCTCTCTTAACAGTTCATCAAAATCATTAATTAGTAGTTTTGAATTATCTGGAGGAAGATTTCTGTTGCTATTTTTGCTGCTGCTGTTCAATTTCATGCAACTCCAAAGTACTACCAAGCATTGATACTGACTCATGTATTCCTAGGGTCAGGCAATGGGAATAAAGTAAAACCGGAATCTAAATTTCTTCTGCATTCTCGTGGCATCTTAAAACTGTGTTACATTTTTGATAGATAACTATATCAATATGAATATAACTTGTGTAGTAACATGATGGTACAGAGATTTCAGTAGTCTTCTTCTTTGCCTACATTTCAAGAAAATATTATCCTACTCTATAAACAATACAATGCAAAAGGGAATGCTCCCCTCTTAAATTTTGTTTTGTATTTTAATTCTAAAGTTAATAGGGCTTCCATGGATGCCTTCCTATTGGAATCTCGGTTTCCATATCTGTCGATGGAATTACACCGATCTAAATGATGTGAAAGTTGTAGTGGAAAGGAATCGTGCAGCTGGAATACCTTATGTAAGTAAATATGTATGGGTGGAGAAGGAATGCAGTCACTGTGTGAAAATTGGGTGGCTTTATACATATGTTTAATTAATAAATCAGTACATTATTGATTGGAAGGGAAAATCAGTTTTTTTGAATACTCAAATACCATTTGACTGTGCTACTGTGTTCAGCAGAAAGATACAATTCTAGAAGGATTCATAATGTTGAAGGTAGAATTTGATGGCTAGTTTCATTTGAAGCATGAGCACAGTAAGCAAATCCATGCTCATTTAATAAATTCAGTTTTAACCAAATTAAGGTCCCATTCTTACAGGACTTTTGCTATTTTTATTATGAGCTCTCAATTTGTTACGATATGCATAATCCACTGATAGTCTTTTAGTTGTTAATCTCATGGAAAAAGAAACCATAAATTATGTGGGAAGTTTTAATGTCATTGTTTTAATTTTGTCATAATTCAGTGACAACATCATGCTTGGGAAAGCAAGCCAGTACGAAGACCAAGTAAGGAAGGGAGGTTGTAATCCAGGAATGGATAAATTTGGGATTAGAGGATACACTTCACTTTTTTTGGGGGGAGGTAGAAAATAGGAGGTCACAATGAATGGGTTGATTCACAAAGTGGACAGGGTTAGGATTTAATAATCTTTATCTCCTGGTTTGGGCTAACTGGATTTTTTTTTTAAAAAAAATAACTAAATGCAAATCTATTTTAGGACTTTTAAAAAATATTTTGTATTTGATTTTAATATTTTTTAGTGTCAAGTGCAGGAAATCAGGATTTTAGGCAGTTGATATAGGTATATTGCATGCTAAAGCACTCTGCAAGAATCTGAAATACTAATATTCAAAGCAAATTAGTGGTAGATAAGAGTCAATGGAATTCAAGATGAATTGCACTTAGATCTCTTGTGGGCATGAATGGACTCAAAACTGATAAGCTTTTGATCTCTTAGCCTGGTTATTTCCTACATTTAGGATATTTTAGGATAGTACAATCTTTATGTGCTTCCTACTTTAACACAGTGAGAAATGTTTCCTTTGTCCTTTAAAATGGGTTATGCTGTTTACTAGAAAAGACATTGGGACCACATATAATTTTAGTAGTAGATTGCCTACTCTTGATACAACTGGTGGAATTTACACTGGCTAAGTGTTTATGGAGATTTTTAGTCATCCAGGTCATAATTATACCAAAGGTGTTTTTCATGAGGTAACTAGACTTTCTTGTTTTTTCTTTGAAGACATTTTGCTTCTCATACAAGAAGCTTCTTCAGCTCTGACTGGATGGTGGGGAATGGAAGTATTTATACTCCTTGCAGACAGATGGTCATTTACATTCTTTTAGAGAGTTATTGATACCATCTGGAGATTTATCTGTGTCCTCAATGATAGGTGGCCTCAATGACTCTCTAAAAGAATGCAAATGACCAAAACAGACCCAGAAGGAGATCCTCCACAACAGACAAAGAAGAAAACAATAAATGAAGCAACATTGTCATTCCATATTTGCAGGAATATCAGAAAAGCTCAGGAGGATCTTCAGCCAACACAACATACGTGCACACTTCAAACACACAAATACACTAAGTGGAAGGATAAAATACCCAGACACAAACTGAGCAAGGTGGTATATGCAGTACAATGCAGTGAGCCATATGCAGATCTGTACATTTGGTAAACAAAACAACCACTTCATAAATGCATGAACAACATAGGAGAACAAACCCATCAGGACAAGATTCAGCAGTCCATCTGCATTTAAAAGACCAAAGTCACTCTTTTAAAGACAACAACATGCACATTTTGGACAGAAAGGACTACTGGTTTGAAAGAGGGGTCAGAGGCCATCTATGTCAAAATTGAACAGCCTCTTTCAACAGGGGGGGGAAGGATATGGCATCATCTATCTACAACACAGTCCTTTCAGCAGTTCCAAGAAGGCTCCACACATTTGCACTACTCAGGTGACCGTGATGACACAGATAAGCCTCCAGGTTGCCTCAATGAGTCTCTAAAACATGGGTCTTCAAACTTGGCCCTTTTATGACTTGTGGACTTCAACTCCCAGAATTCTTCAGCCAGCGTGCCTGGCTGAGGAATTCTGGGAGTTGAAGTCCACAAGTCATAAAAGGGCCAGGTTTGAAGACCCCTGCTCTAAAAGAATGCAAATGACCAGCTGTCTGCAAGGAGTATAAATCCTTCCATTCCCCACCATCCAGTCAGAGTTGAAGAAGCTTCTTGGATAAGAAGTGAGATGTCTTTAAAGAAAAGCAAGAAAGTCCAGTTGCTTCATGAAAAAGCACCTTTGGGCACACTGGCTAAAGAAGTTACAGTGCTTTTCCCCCACATCAATCATTCTGAATCTAGATTCAATCAAAATAAATGAAATATGTCTTTGGATATCTTCTAGAAGCCTGGTGGTTTAGTAAAGGATCAAAGTTAGATAGGGTTTCAATGAAATTGTCAATGTTTAGGCAATATAGAGAGAATAAAATCAAGAATGTCATTTTACAAGAATTTATACTTGCTGGAAATCTAGTTAAGTCTCCCTGGAGGCTGAAGAATTAAAATGAAAACAGATGCTGAATTTTGTCACACCTGTGAATATTTAACTTAGCTAATGCAAGGAACAGTTCCCTTAGCCAAAATATCAGCTTCATCAGATAACAACATATGCATTTTCTTTCTACCATTAAAAGTATATGTTGGGAGAAACCAATGTCCTTTGCAATATTAAAGGATAAATCAATCTATTTTACTTTTTTATATACATTAGAGAAAAAAATTAGGGTGGCTATATAGCAAGTTTTTATGGTAATGAAAATTGGGTATGGGGGTATATTGGCTTTTATAATGAGCCAGTGTTGCAGATTCAAAGAAAATCTAGTTTTCTGAATATAACATTGTTAACAGAATACAAGAAACCAAATGAACCTTTTATGCTCCATCAAAGTATGATTGTCCAATGGAGACTTAGATAAGATACAGAATTAATGTATCCAATTATTTTATCTTGAGTTAAAAAACTCATCAGCACCAATTCTCTTTCCTTTTTCTTAGTATTCTTCATCTAGACTATGATGATCTTGGTGTTGGTGATAATGATGATTCCTCACAGTTCTGCCTCGGTTGAAATAGTATAAAAATTCAACATTTCCAATGTCTGCATTTTTCTTTCCAGGATGTTCAATATACTGATATTGACTACATGGAAGATAAGAAAGATTTCACTTATGATAAGATAAACTTTGCAGGCCTCCCTGAATTTGTCCAAGACCTTCATGACCATGGACAGAAATATGTCATCATACTGGTAATTCTTATTAATTTAAACAGTGAAGCAATTATTGAAACAGTTTATCAGCAATTGTTTGCATATAGCAATAGCAGTTAGAGTTATATACCACTTCATAGTGCTTTACAGCCTTCTCTAAGTGGTTTACAGAGTCAGCATACTGTCCCCAACAATCTGGGTCCTCATTTTACTGACCTCAGAAGGATGGAAGGCTGAGTCAACCTTAAGCCAGTCAGGGATCGAACTCCTGACAGTGAACTGAATTATGACATTCTAATCACTGCGTCACCATGTCTCATATATATTATGTTACGGCTCATATATATATTATGTTATAATGCCAAATGTCTTGCCTATCCATATCATTACAATTTCTTCTCTTTCCTGAAACATTACGTTTTTGCTATTATTACTTCTAAACTTCCCAATTTTTCTTCCTTATTTGTACTATGATTTCTCTTCATCTCATCTGATTCAATAAAAGTAATGGAAACCTGATGAAACAGTATTATTTTATTCAGGAACAGAAGAGTCTACTAATTATTTATCTAGTCCCTGCAAACCTATAAACCTTCCTTGACTTATAGGTTTTTGTTGATCAATGGATCATAGATGAATTTTAAAACAAAGAGCACAAGAAATGTGTGATGGAAGCATTACAATAATATTAAAAAGTTAAAAATGAACAATTCTTTGCCAACATGGCCTCAACTGTTTTACATCTTCATCCTTAATGATGGTCCTTGACTTTCCCATACTATTAAATATACTGAAAGGTTGCCCACTTTGTTTGTACTGTACTGTAATCAATAGTCAATGGATATCGTAATTCTATTTCCATATTTTTTTTAAAAAAAATCCAACAGATAGCAAAAATAAACAGAATATTAATTGTGCCTTAGCAGCTGCTCTCCAATGGTATCTGGCAATTTAGTGGCAGAAAGCAAGGCTGCAAGCAAGATACAAGATGTCTTTTACAGAATCTGAGCATGTTCAATGATGTCAATTTACAAGTCCTGTCCTACAGTGATGAGAATATGTAAAGTAGAGTTTGTCGACTTTGTTCTGCTTTGTAGCATAGCAAAGCACCCCTGCTATCTTCTGCAGGAGTACAAGCAATTGCATAATTGTGCAAAGGTTTAGAAAGTTTAACATTTTTAATTTCTTTTCTTAAAGGATCCTGCCATTTCTGTCAATAATCTCATGAACAATACCTCTTACGAAGCCTATGTAAGGGGAGAACGGATGAAAGTGTGGATAAATGAATCAGATGGAATAAGCCCTCTTATTGGGGAAGTAAGTTGCTGGTTTTAGAAATAAGTTGTGGACCACCGGAGCATTAGATAGACAGACAGACAGAAAGATAACTTTTATTGTTATTTTTTATTGTGAACATAATGACACACATTAAAAATGAAATTTAGTTGTTTGCCCTCAAAATGTACATATACACAACACACATTTAAACATACTATATACAACATATGTATATACCCTTACATATAAGTAACATATAAATATTAATCACTGTCCATCTTGAATACATAATGAAAGGAGGAAGCTTTAGAGTTCACAAGATCAATACTGTATGAAACATAACTGTGACTGAATCTGGATGTTCTGCTTCCAGTACCATGAAGCCTCCTCCCAGAAAGTAAGAAAGAAAACATAAATGTACAGTATAGCAAATAAGTGTCTAAACTGAGGAAAGAGAAAGGAGGAGAATATTGTACTAATAGTTTCTGGAATCATTTGCAAAACTGGGATCTTTTCTCCACTCCACATATATTATTAATTCTGAAGAAACCCACTGTATTTTTTTCTCTTTGGCATGAGGACCTTCAAAGACATAGGCGTAACTGTTTGATAAATGTCATTCATGTTGATTGTTGTGATCCAAAATGAATTTATAATTTCTGTCAAAGCAATTTACATTTCTTTATCTAGTTCTGGAAAGTAAATATTGGCACAATCATCAAACTAAAAATAAATCACACTGTTGCCAATACTTATTTTCTCAGATATATTTCCAAAAATAAAATATTTTTAAAGCTAAGAAAATGGTAAGAGAACACCTGTCTGATTTTGATGAATATGAATCTAATGGATTACATCCCAGAGTTCTGAAAGAGCTGGCAGATGTTATCTCAGAACCATTGTACTATATATTTCAAAAATCATGGAGCACCGGGGAACTACCAGAATATTGGAACTACCAGAATATTGTGATTCCCTTCTTTCCAAAAACAAACAAACAAACAAACAAAAAAACACAGACCCAGGAAACTACAGACCTATCAGGCTAACATCAATACCTGGGAAGATACTGAAAAATAATAATAAAAAACAGATCTGTAAAAATATAGAAACAAATAAAGTTATAACTAATAGTCAACACATGTTTGTTAAAAACAAATCATGACAAACCAATCTTATTTCATTCTTTGACAAAGTAACTAAATTAGTAGACCAACAAAATATTTTGGACATAGTATACTTAGACTGCAGCAAGGCATTTGACAAAGTAGACCACAACCTACTTCTTGGTAAACTAGAAAAATGTGGGATAGACATCATCACCATATGATGGTTTTATAACTGACTGACAAACCATACTCAACGAGTTGTCCTTAATGGTTCTGCATCTACATAGAGAGACGTAAGCAGTGGGGCACTACAAGCTTCCATCTTAGACCCAGTACTCTTCAATATTTATTATTTATTTATTTATGAGACTTATATACCGCTTTAAGTGCAAGCATTCTCTAAGCGGTGTACACCATTAAGCAATGTATATATACATTTACATTTCCCACAACAATCTGGGTCCTCATTTTACCTACCCCGGAAGGATGGAAGGCTGAGTCAACCTTGAGCCGGTGAGATTTGAACCACTGACCTGCTGAACACAGTCAGCTAAAGTGGCCTGCATACTGCACTCTAACTGCTGCGCCACCTCGGCTCTTCTCTTCATAAATGACTTAGATGGGGGAATTGAAGGGTAACTCATCAAATTTGCAGATGACACTAGGCTGGCAGGAATAGCCAACATCCCAGAATCCCCAAAAAATATTGACAGACTTGAACAATGGGCCCTACCCAACAACATGAAATTTAATGTGGAGAAAGCAAGATTTTACACCTAAGCAGGAAAAATCAAAGGTACAAGTATAAATTAAGTGAAACCTGCTCAAAAACAATAATTGTGAGAGGGACCTTGGAGTCCTAGTGGATGATCACTTAAACATGGGTCAACAGTGTGCGGCAGCATCTAAAAAAGATAATACACTCCTTGGTTGTATAAACAAAGGTATAGAATCAAAATCACGTGGAGAATTAGTACTGCTTTATAAATCCTAAGTAGGACCACACCAATTTTGGTCACCACATTACAAAAAAGATGTTGAGACTTTGGAAAAAGTGCAAAGAAGAGCAACTAAGATGATTAAGGGCCTGGACACAAAAACATATGAAGAATGGTTGCAGGAATTGGGTATGGCCACTCTAGAGAAAAGAAGGATTAGGGGTTACATGATAGCAGTATTCCAGTATTTGAGAAGCTTCCACAAAGAAGAGGGGGTCAATTTATTTTCCAAAGCACCAGACAAGAAACAATGGATGGAAACTAATCAAAGAGAGAAGTAACCTGGAATTAAGATGAAACTTCCTAACAGTGAGAACAATTAACCAGTAGAACAGCTTGCCTTCAGAAGTTGTAGGTGCTTCATCACTGGAGGTTTTTAAGAAAAGACAGGATAGCCATTTGTTTGAAATGGTGTAGGGTCTTCTGCTTGAACAGGAGGTTGGACTAGAAGACCACCAAGGTCCCTTCCAACTCTATTTTGATTGAATAGAGCTTATTAAGAATCTTCCTGCTCTGTTTAGTAACCTGCAAGTTATGTTATTAGATTATTAGTAACTTCTTATGTAATATTCATGTCTATTATTATGAAGGTATAAACATTCTATTCATTCTATTCATGCTCAATAAGTTATGAGGAATGGCTGCAGGCAGAAGTATAATATTTAAATTAGTATATCAATGTTATCTTGCATTTATTGGTAACAGATTCAAATTTCTTCTCTCCCTCAATGCATTTCTTTCTTTAAATTATACTGAAAATATTAACTAGATTATAAGTTTGATATTTTGAACATTGTCTTCAGAAAAGGGGGGAAATACAAATTAATGCAAGCAGAATTTGCTACCTATCTATCTATTTACCTACACATCCTGGAGGATGAGATTTAAAAAAGTTGATTTCTTTGATGATAGCCATTTGCTAAGAACTAAAACTGATTTACATTTCCTTATAACCCATGACTTCTAGGTCTCTCTCACTTCCCCCTGCCCGTCTCTACATATATACAAATCTATATATGTACACATACACAAATGTGTGCATATGCATACGTGTATGTATATCTATACATATATGTAGTGGTGGGATTCAAATATGTAAACAACTGGTTCTCTGTGTGGATGCTGCTTCCGGAAGTCCATTCTGGGCCTGGGCAACAAAAAATTAGCTGCCGGTTCTGCCAAAGGCTAAATCCCACCCCTGCATATATGCACACAAAAATTATATATAAAACAGTTATATGCATGTGCAAGATATATCCTATTTTGGAGACATATCTGGGTGTCAGTGTTTTGTGGGTGTTCCTAACAGAAAATAACTGGGTCAGAACTTTGCAGTATGTTATATATACTGTATATATAAAAACATAGCAAAACGTAATGGCATTTATGATATCCACTAAGTTGTCTAGGTGACAACTTCTTGAAGTAGTACTATTACGTGAAAAAGAAACAATTTAATAAAAACTGAATTTCAGTATCTAACATATAATTGCCTTTTTCTATTTTATTGTCTTCCCATACACATAAATAACAAATTTAGTACAAGTGGAATATCACTCAGATATTCCACTTGTTTCATTTTGAAATATCACTCAGATATTCCACTTGTTTCATTTTGCTTAGTATCTTGCAAAACTATTTTAAAAGAAATTTTATATCCTTTTGTAGACCAATTATATATATATATATATATATATTTACCTGCAGGTGTGGCCAGGAACAACAGTCTTCCCTGATTTTTCCAGTCCTGAAGCTGTTCAGTGGTGGGTGTATGAGTGCAACAATTTTCATAAAACAATTCATTTTGATGGATTGTGGATTGTAAGTACTATTTAGCACAGTGAAGAAACAAATAGTTGATAGCAAAAAATACTTAGCAATAAGCAAAAAATATGCATCTCCAAATTTTTATTCTTTTCATAGGCAACGATACATTTTCTCATAGGAATACAAACATTGGAAGAAAATATTTTGATTTTTAAATGCATGTTATCCATGCCTAGCACATTCAGACATGTTCAATTGTTGCTGAAATTCAAACAGATTGGAACCCCTGGGATATTATAATATCTGAGCAAAGAATAGAAAAGGAGGAAAGTATGACATTCATGAGCCTGAACAACAGTAAAATATTGCTGTTACGGTCTAGTTGCTAAGTCTAGCTCAGCTCCAAGGGATTACATGAAAACATCCATTTTGTTTTCCTAGCAGCAATATAGCAGTATAGCCTTGTTCCAGGTTGCTATCTCAGCTTCCCAGTCTAGCCTGAAGGTTTAGAATTTTCTTGTGGTTTTCCAACCCAAACATTAATAAAATTTGATTTTTGGTTCCATATAAAATGAGACAAGGTCTGCTGTCATGGCTTATTGTTCATAGCAACAGAAGTCTCCTCTTGAAAGAAGAAGGCTGTCTCTCTTGTTAAAGAGCTGAGATGGACAACAACAATTGAAAAACTAGATGCATAACACCATTCAGTTCTGCTACCCACTAAAGAATTTGGTAAACAGGCACTGAGAATTCTCAGTAACTGGCTTACAGATTCAAACGTAGACTTGCCTATTCATGAAAATTGTTGCCACAGTGGGCTTTGTTAGTCACAAAATATTTATTTACTAGAAAGTGGGTCATATTTTTTGGAGGAAAATATTTGTAGCTCAGGTTGAAATGAGAGGTCCTTAGTGTTCTCTGAGTTGGTTATTTTGCCGACATTTCATTGCCCAGACTAGGTAACCTTAGTGCACTGATGATGATTACCTAGTTTGGATAATAAAAAGTCTGCAAAAAGCCCAACCAAGCTCAGATAGCACTAAGGTCCCCTCAATCATATATCTTCTCTATTAACCCATGGGTATCTCCATAAGGCCCAAAATTATTATGGCAGTTAAATATGTTGCTCGGAGTGATTGCTTTTTAAAATTATTTTTTTTAAAGTTGAATGGAACCTTGATCCTAATGGGTATTAAGATGTGTCTGAAGATTACAACTACATATTTATGAATTTCTATGTATGTTTTCTCATAGGACATGAATGAAGTATCCAATTTTGTCAAAGGATCAAAAACTGGTTGTGCAGCAAACAATTTAAACTACCCACCTTTTACTCCCAGTAAGTTCTCAAATGAAATCAAAATTATTTAATTTCTATGGTAGATTTTTCATATATCTATATAATCAATAACCCACAGTAGTTAAATAAATATGCAAGGTCCTTAGATAGAATCTTAGATATTTTGAGAAACAATTCCTTTACCAATTGTTAAAGAAATACTGTCTGCTACAACATAGTGATTCTTCTGGAGGAACAGAATGAACTAATTGCTAAATTGTCAGATGATTTACAAGTTATCACCCTAACTCTAACTAAAAATAATTTTATTTGGGGATTTTAAAATCTAAACAAATAACTTCAGTACAGCAAGGTAAAAAGTGCTGACCTAATTTATAACTATATTAATTAAATCAAATCTAATTTGATATAGAATACATAATAAAGGGGGTAAAGGCAACCTTGGAGGCCTTCTAGTCTAACCGTCTTCCCACACAGGAGACTCTATACCAGGCATGTCAAACACGTGGGCCATGGGCTGGATATGGCCCAAGCAGGCCAAGCCCGCTCCAGCCCCACTAAGGCAAAAAACATCCCGATATGTCACGATACGGCCCGCAATGCGATCGGGCTTGGCACCCCTGCTCTTTATCATTAATTCAATCTAACTAGGATTTTTTTTCCTTTTGATTCAGATACAATTGTGTTGCGATTATTTGTAAATAGCATTTATTCTAGTACAGAGAAGTATCTGAATTAATTAGGAAGTATCTGAGTTGATATGAGCTCTGATTGTATTCCTAAAGTAATTTTGAATTAGCAAACTCAATATTGAATATTAACCTTATTAAAAACTAGTCTAGGGTAGTGGATTTAAAGGGAAAAAAAGTAACTTTCAAAAACTGGAATTCCATAAAAAATGACATTTGCTTGTCTATTCTTCCAGAAAGCTATACATTGAAATGTTCAATAGAGATTTTTTTTTAATTTAATAGATTTTTTTAAAATGTCTTTTTTCTGCAGAGATTCTGGATGGAGTTATGTATTCAAAGACACTTTGTATGGATGCAGTCCAAAAGGCAGGGAAACATTATGATGTTCACAGCCTCTATGGATATTTCATGTCTATAGCTACTGATAAGTAAATAATTTTACATTCTTTTTTCCCTTTAAATTTAATTTGTGCCAGATTTTCTTTGTTTCAGTTTGGATAGGTAATCACAAGAATAAAAATCAATCAATCAGAATAGACCTGGAAGGGATGTGGGAGGTGTTCTAGTCCAATCCCCTACTGAAACAGGACACCCTATACTATTTCAGATAGGTGGCTGTCTTTTCTTAAAAACCAGATGAAGCACTTACAACTTCTAAAGGCAAGCTGTTCCCACTGGTTAATTGTCTTTACTGTTAGGAAGTGTCTCCTTAATTCCAGGTTGCTTCTCTCTTTGATTAGTTTCCATCCAGTGTTTCTTGTCTTGCCTTCTAGTGCTTTGGAAAATAAGTTGACCCCCTCTTCTTTGTGGCAGCCCCTCAAATACTGGAATACCCTCCCCATCACCAATCTTAGAATGTGTATTAGAAAAAAAAAATGATTAAGATTACTACACAACAATTCCATGATTTCTCTACTAGCACCTGACTGGAATATTCAAAAATATAAACTCTTAACATGTTATAATAAATATTGAACACACTATCAAAATTCTACTGGTAAATCTTACTCCCTTGTGAAGTCTAAAACCATCCAGGAGTGAAACCTAATTTTATTTTATTTTTTGTGATTTGGCCAAAACACGCTTATTCACACAATCCTTCTCATGAATTGAAAAGCTATCTATTTAGTACACACAACTTATAAGATGTAATCTGAAGCACTGGCTCATATTTTAGACTTTAATAGTCTATTCATAAGTTAATTTTGCAAGGATTTATTGGATATGTTGTAGGTATGTTGAAGCCTGCCTTTCATTTTCTCCAATTTTTCATCTCAGTAAAATATATCAATTTCTTAATGTCATAAATTTATGTTGTTTTCAGAGCACTCAAGACTATTTTCCATGAAAATAGAAGCTTCCTCCTTTCCCGATCAACATTTTCTGGTTCTGGAAAATTCACAGGACATTGGCTGGGAGATAATTTTGCAACTTGGAATGATATTAAGTGGTCTATACCAGGAATATTAGAATTTGGTCTATTTGGATATCCTTTTGTAAGCTATTTTAACTGTAATAGTAGTTTTAGTCCAACTGTTAAATTCTGGCATAATAAAATACTAGGGCAATTTAGAAATAAACCTCCATTTGGTTATCAATTACAGACACTTGCAGATACAGAAATTTTATTATACACATTAAAAAACTACAACATTGCATTACTTTTCAACATAATCGCCATTCAAATTGAGGCACGTCATAACATCTTACAAGATTTGAAATTCCTTATTAGTAGTTGTTCGGCACCAAATCAGGGCTATGGGATTGGTGATCAAAAACATCCCAATGGAATGGCTTCAAAACTTCTTGGGTGCATCTAGCGGTGTGTGGGTGAGCATGATTGTGAACCAACACCACACTGTAAATTATCATGCCCCGACGCTTGTTATGGATGGCTCACCTGAGTTTTTGTAACGTTTCACAGTAGATTCTGAATTGATGGACAAACCACACTCCATGAACTTCACTAGCAGTACTCCTTTGGCATCTTCACATTTGGCAGGATTTTCTAAAACACGTGTGGTGTTAGTTCATGATAATGATCACCCACACACCATTATATGCACCCAAGAACTTTTGAAGCAGTTTTGTTGGGAAGTTTTTATCACCACCCTTATAGCCCAGATTTGACATCGAGCGACTACTAAGGAATTTCAAACCTTGTAAGACATTATGACAAGTGCCTCAATTTGAATGGTGATTATGTTGAAAAGTAATGTAATGCTGTAGTTTTCTAATGTGTATAATAAAAGTTTTTTAGCTGTGAGTGTCTGTCATTGATAACCAAATGGAGGTTTATTTCCAAATTGCCATCATAAGATAAAGTGTTGGATTAATGTATCTCTCTAGGTCAGATCTATGCATACCACATTCTTTAGACTTAGTTTGCACAATGTATGATTTAGTAAACTTCAACTATATGTTTTGGAAGGTCTGACTATCTCTTTTCTATTGGAATAATCCTTTGGTAGGCTGTATGATCTGAAGACTTCTGGGACCTCTTTGTTTACTTGCAAATGTCTCATTACTTGACTATGTAGCATCATGCTGACAATGTCACTTAATTGTGCAATGAAACATTTGCAAGCAAGTTTAGACAGCACCAAGGATCCATAATTCGACCCTGAGTTACATATAGTCTCTCCTGCTGTATCATCTACCATTCCAAAACAGTACAGCTTTGCAGTTTGACAATCCAAAGAATAAAGATGAGACTGAAAGATGTATTCAGAAAGCAAAATTATTTTTTAAAAGCAAAAATATGGATTTAAAGGTACCTCAGAATAGACGAGGCAAAAGACTTTTTATAAGACCTTTGTTATTATTTTCTTTCTATTTTAAAAGTAGCTTAGAATCAAAATTACTGAAAGAGCACCAATGTGATATGAATTTCCTTGTCTCATAAGAAAGCTAAAGTAGATTTTTCCTTCTTGTTTCCTCACTCTGAAAGGAGGCTGATTGTTTGTTTGTTGGAAGAGACATTTATTGTATCTGCTATTATACTAAGCAATTCCTTACAGCCTGAAGCTTATTTTCTTCTGGTATTTGTGCTTTTATAAAAATATATATTAAAAAGCTGTCTGTCTCTTGTAACTTTGACTGATTTTTCATGGGCTATGATACATTCTTAATCATAGAATGTATGTGTATATACGTTCATGCATATACATACATGTATGTGCATGTATGTGTGTATATATATATGTATATGTGTATATATGAATATGTATGTATACATATACATATATTTAGAAAAGTCAGATACAAATATTTACATATATAGTAATAGCTCATCTCATTGCTATTCTATCCTATTTCTCTTTGTTCAATCAGCTAAACATGATTTAGATTTTTTTAAAAGACCAGTGTGAATCAATTTATACTGGTCATCTGAGAACTGATTAATGTAGAAGTTGTAGATACAGTAGCATCACATCTTATGCAGATATATCATACAGTATGTCAATGATTTTTAATATGCTTCTATTTTAGATTGGGACAGATATTTGTGGCTTCCTTGACGATGTCTCAGAAGAACTTTGTAGACGATGGTTGCAACTTGGAGCATTTTACCCATTTTCTAGGAATCACAATGCTGCAGCATATGCTGTAAGACCAATTTTAAAATTGATCAAGCTTCTAATTGTTTGAAGGCTTCCCCCCCCCCCAGTAATTTTCTAAATATTTATTTCTAGCCTAAAGATCCAGCATATTTTGGACACAATTCGCTTTTGGTGAATTCAACGAAACACTACTTGACAATACGTTACACTTTGTTGCCATATCTCTATACCCTGTTTTATAAAGCACATGCCCGGGGAGAGACAGTTGCAAGACCTGTTCTACATGAGTAAGTTCATGCTTTTAAGATTTCGGGTGATGGGAAAGAACTTTACACTTCCCATATTTATGTATCTATATATTTATATTTATGTCTTACACAAATAGACTCACATTTTAGAATGTACTTATTAGCCTTTATAGACTCAAGAAGTTGATCTCAATATTATTTCAGATTCTTAGAAAATTAAATTCTTTAAAAGTCTTGTCACAGATGAAAGTTATACAGATTTTAAATTTTATAAAAGTTTTAAAACAAGAAAGTAGTATGCCTCTCTTCTGCTGGAATTAGAACAATCAAATATTAAATATTATCAGATGTGACCTGAGGATTTAAGGAGCCACATTGCAATGCTTGAGATTGGATACAACATGTTCTTCAATTGGGTAGCCTCAAAATATAAACAAACAAACAAATAAGCAAGCAAGCTTTGGTGTTCTGAAGAGCATAGCTGGAGCGCTAGATTCATTTCCATTTCACTGGGAGGATTATAGCAATGTATAAGGCTTATTCTTACAGGAATAAAGAGACAGTTATCATAATTAATCATTATAGATGTACAGTTAATAAACTCCAGGAGAAGTACTTTTAGTTTCCAGCAAGCTAAACTGCTGAAAAATAATAATAAAAAACATCTCTATGCCTAGAGCTCACTGATGCTTGAAGATATCTGGAATTTGTTCAGAACATCATAAGCATTTCCTGACATTCTAGGAATATTTTTGTAGACACTAAAGCTGTGTTAAAATCAGCCTTTGTGATCACTCAGAAATTTTCTTCCATTGCAAAAGAGCTCTTACTTTTCTACCTTATTCTCAGAATGCTGAAGGATTTTTTTTTCATTTATTTTGATGATGTATTTAGTCTGATTTTATTTTTAAAGTAGTAGATAGTACTTTGTTGCTTTGGGGCACATAGTTTTTCTTCATTCTTATGTCTCCTTGCTTGCCGTTGTTTCCTATACAAGAAAACGAGTTCCTTTGCAATGCCTGGTATCTTGATTTAATCAAAGCAAGAAAAGACAGATAGGATGTAAAACATTGGTTAGATGATGGCACAATGAAAACCAGGGCATTTACAGAATATGCAAATAGAATACATATTTATATGCATACACAGAGACACAATTTCATATATAAAGTAGCTTATGACCTTACAGCCATCAATGAGGCAGAAGAAAGAGGTACAGTATATAAATCTGCTTATATCAATATTTATGTATTAATCCAAAATACGGTCTGAGTGACAAAGCTAAAAGTGTTTCAGCTTCATTAATGCATGGAATATTAAAAAGCCTTAATAGACAATGTTTAAGAATATATTGTATATAGAATCCAAATGGTTGATTTCATTAAAGCATAACTAAGTTTCTAATCCTACATATTTCATGTGGCAATATTAACTTGTGAGTTGTCTTAAAATATGAAACCCTCTCTTTACTTGAAATTGTTATACTTGAAATTGTCAATAGTGTCTCCAATACATAAATAGTTATTTAAGATTCACCAATCATAAAAACATAACTTTAATACTATAATATTTCTTTAGATTCTACTCTGATGAAGCTACCTGGACCATAGACAGACAATTCTTGTGGGGACCTGGACTACTTATTACTCCAGTCTTAGATCCGGTATATTTAATTTTTATTAAGTTACAATATACATAACTCTTTGTTTTGCAGTAAGTACATGCTAGGCCTGTATCACAATCTCTGTTAAGTGATAAATAAAAGAGTAGAAGTAATAAAATAATTTAAATAATTGAATGAAAGAGATGAGCATGTCCTTTTTCATCATAGTTCCTTCCTATCTCCTTTTGTGTCAGTCAGCCCTGCCCCAGTCTGATTCCTTAGGAAAGAAAGTCCCTTGACTCTATTTGGTTGAAGTGATAGGTTCATTTATTAAAAGATGCTGGCTACAGTAAAGTCAGGCTAGAACTAAATTTCTTGCACTAAAAAGATAGAGAAGTTTTCCCTTCAAACCAGTTCTCCTCCCATGACCAGTTTGTCTATGTGCTTTGAGAAAGCTGAGATGTTTGGGGTAATCCACATTTCTTCTCCAGTAGCATGGCCTTGAATGCTGGCACTTACTGGTTCTCAGCTTTTCTGTTCTTTGTCAAGCTGTCACTCCCTATTTCCCATCACTACTGACTTTCCCATCACATATTGACCATTTGTTCATCCACATCATGTCCCCTATTCCCTAGCCTTTGATGGCAGGATGCCAGCGAGGCATCAAGCCAAAGATGGCAGACCTGACATTTTGTGTGAACAAAAGTACAGTTGCTTTTCAAGTAATGTTAGCTCTTCAAACTTCAAGTAGTATATTCATCTTTTGTTTAGCTAAAGGAAATCTAGCAAATGGTTTTAGAGGAAGCCAAATATTAAGTTATTGTGTTAGTATGTTTCTATTTGATGCAATAAAATAAATCATCTTTCTTTCTTTCTTTCTTTCTTCTTTCTTTTTCTTTCTTTCTCTTTCTTTCTCTTTCTTCCTTTTCCTCCCTCCCTCCCTCCCTCCCTCCCTCCCTCCCTCCCTTCCTTCCTTCCTTCCTTCCTTCCTTCCTTCCTTCCTTCCTTCCTGTTTCATTATTGCTTCAAAAACTACACTATTCCTTCCACAATGAAAATTTTCATTCTCCAAATCTTCCAAGTCTACAATCATTTTAGGGCATTTTATGGTGGAAATAGTAATTGACATTATAATATGGAAGAAAATGCTTGACAAATAATTTTTCCAGTAAGAGAGTCAGGAAAGAATCAAAGAGAAACAAATTCATGCTCATCTACCTCCAGCCTAGAAAAAAAATCTAATAATATCAAGGCATTTTCCCTTTGATGTTGCTAATAAATGAAATATTTTCTTTTTAATATTTCAGGGTGTTGATACGGTAACAGCATACATTCCTGATGCTGTGTGGTATGAGTATGAGACAGTAAGTGCATGATTATTATAAAATGTCTCCCCTAAAAGTATAGTATTAATATTTCAAATTAAGTCTGCTGCATAGCAATCTGCATCATTTTTATACACTATAAAATGCATATGGGCCAAAGATCTGGAGCTGCATAGAATTTTGTAGGGGTACAGTATACACAAAAGGTCAAATCAACATACTTAGATACTTCAGATCAAAGAGAATATTTAACTTTCACTGAAGCATTGTTTTAATCAGATTACTTTTGATGATTAAAAAAGAAGTACTTCAAACAAATTGTCTATCCTTTCCAAGAAAGTTTTGTAGGGAGTGGGTGGGGCATTGAGCATTTTATGTTTTAATATTATCCTGCCAAAAAACAAAAACAATACATAAGTTGCAATACAATCTTTTTTTTTTAGAAACACATTAAGGCTATATTTATTTAATTGTATTTATTTATTTATTTAATTGATTTATATGCCGCCCAATCCCAAAGGACACAGGGCGGCGTACAAAATATGAGCGTAAAGTTCATAGAAAAATTTCAAATTTCAAATTGAGTCAAGTTGAATGCCCCCAGTTTCCTCTCCCCCATTAATTTGACAGTAGAATTTACTCAATATGAATAGAAGAGCTGAATTACTTTAACCATTTTTTTCATTTCCTATAATATAAAATACATAAATAGAATCATGAGATTCTTCCTCTGACAAAATTATTTCAGTTATAAAAGGAATGTATACATTATTCTTTGTTTGTAGGATTATCAATCCTAGTTTGTACTAACAATTTTATGAGTATAGTAAACCTTTTTTCTAATTTCCTTATAAAACAGGGTATAAAAGCACCTTGCAGAAAACAAGAGTGTCAAATGTTCCTTCCAGAAAACAAACTTGGACTTCATCTTAGAGGAGGATACATTTTTCCTATTCAACAACCAGCCAACACAACTGTTTACAGGTATTTTCTGACATTAGTGGATTTTTAAACATGCAGCTGTGACATCTATTTAATATGTCTAATGCACTGAATAAATAGACTATATAAGAAAGAAAAGAAAGTTGATCTTTAACCTCACCGTAAACAAATGCAATGCAGCACAATTTAGCCATTGTACTTCTTTTGGATATTAGTGACAATAACACAAAAGTTGGTTAATATCACATAGCAAGAGAAAATATTGGTTACTTAAGTTTGAAGAGTGGAGACCCTAATAGGCAGTCCATAGGGATTCTAGAGGGTTGAAAGTTTTCTTCTATCATCTAGGAATTTGAACAGACTTTCCAGTTCTTGGATAAAATCTTAAATACCTAATTCCAACATGTTATGGAAATCTCATTTTTCTGGCATAGATTCAGCTTATTGTGTCCAAATACCTGATATAACAGGCATGTAACAGCAATTAATATTGTTGGGAAGAAGACAAAATATTCACAATGCATAAACCAATCCTACAGATGGATTTAACATTTCTTTTCCAAATATAGAACTTTAAACTTTTGTCCAGAGGTCACACAACTAATGGTATAGAGAGAAATTTTCTGCATATTTTTTTATTAGTTCTCATTTCAAGCTGATGAAAACAGAATTTGTTCCTTTGAAAGAAGATAAGAACTTGGGAGAGTAGTGTTCTTGCATTTATTTGTGAAAAGGGAGTCAAGGAGAGCATATAAATATCTTGCTTGCATTATACAACCACCCCATAGTAGCTTTGTGCCTATATTATTTTTCACACTTCAATTACTTCCTAAAGAATAATATCACAAAATAATTTCTGCCATATTCTGTATATCTATATTCATATCTATCTAGATTAAAGCAGAAAAAGCAATGGTACAAAGGACAGTGCTACATTTTAACAGAATAACAGTATAACAGAGTTGGAAGAGACCTTGGAGGTCTTCTAGTTCAGCCTGCTGCTCGAACAGGAAACCTATACCATTTCAGACAAATTAATGTCCAATCTCTCCTTAAAAGCCTCCAGTGTTGCAGCACCCACAACTTCTGGAGACAAGTCATTCCATTGGTTAATTGTTCTCCTGCCAGGGAATTTCTTCTTAGTTCTAGGTTGGTTCTTTCCTTGATTAGTTTCCATCCATTGCTTCTTGTCCTGCCTTCAGGTGCTTTAGCAGCATTTTGCAGCTTATGTGGTCTCCAGATTAGAGACACATTTCTGCAGTTGCCATTGATAGGAATGATACTACAGTTAACTCCCACTGAGATGTTCTGAAAGGCATCTGACAGCATGGCTGAGAACATCATGCTGAACAAGGTACAGAACCGATGGGAAACTGTTCAACCTGCGAAGACTTCAGGCTGTCACCAAGGTAAAGGAGACTGTGCTACGAGATCTCCTCTTTGCTGATGACTGTGCCTTTAATGCAGGATCGGAGCAGGAAATGCAAGCCAGCATGGACAAATTTGCAGCCACTTGTGACAACTTTGGCCTCTTCATCAACATGAAGAAAACTGAAGTGATGTACCAGCCAGTTCCAAGCCCAATATCAAGAGCCTACCATCACAGTAAAGGGACAAAAGCTGTAAGCAGTGGACCAATTTACGTATCTTGGTAGTACCCTCTCCCGTGCAGTGACAATTGACATCGAGGTCAACTGTAGAATTGCCAAGGAAAGTTCTGCATTTGGCAGATTGCGGACTAACATGTGGGAACGTCATGGAATAAGTCTTGCTACCAAGCTTAAAGTCTACCAGGCAGCAGTGCTAACTACCCTGTTGTATACTAGTGAGACCTGGACAGTGTACAGGAGGCACGTTAGGCAACTGAACTACTTCCACATGACTTGCTTTCGTAGAATTCTGAGGATCCAGTGGCAGGATAAGATACCAGACACAGATGTCCTCTCCAGAGCAGGCCTATCATCAGTTTACACTCTGTTGATGAAAGCCCAGATGTGCTGGGCAGGCCATGTTGTAAGGATGCCAGATCATCACATCCCTAAACAGCTCTTCTATGGTGAGCTGTCTCAAGGAAAGCGATCTCATGGAGGACAAAAGAAGTGATACAAAGACACATTGAAAGCCTCTCTTAAGTGCCTGGATATTAACACCATCTCTTGGGAACTTCTGGCACATGATCGACCAACATGGCGCACCTTGGTGTACCAGGGTTGCCAGACATATGAACACAGAAGGACAATCTTGGCACAAGAGAAGCGAGCATTCCACAAAGCCAGAACTGTAAATGCGGAAGTAACAGTGTCTACATTTCTTTGTTCAGTATGTGGCAGAACATTCCGTGCTAACATCGGTCTTATTAGCCACCTATGGACACATTGTTGATGACCCATAACCCACAAGATGTCAAGGTCTTCATCGAAATTGATGGACGAACAACCACTACAGTTAGAATTGGTTCTAGAACTTTTGGAGATGTCCTATCCAGGGATTCCAGACCAATAAAAATGGAGATGAATTGTATAGGGTCTTTCTGCCACTATATTTTTCTCCAGAAGCATTGAAATGCATTTATTTGTATTTGTATGCTAGTCATTGACTGGAAAGGGATTGGCTGACTTTGCATTTGTCTGCCAAAATGAGTGCACAGATTGTGAAATTTTAAATGCATGTGGTATAATTGATTGCTGCTAATCACATTGACTACTGTATGGGCAATAAAATGGGATATAATTGGAAATAACAACATACACCTATAATTGCTTTGTGATTATGATGGGATGTCTCCCTTGGTTCATAGTAAATAGACCTCAGTTGAAACAATTTAACTTATTTTCTGTGAGAAAGCTTAATTTAACACAATGATACTTATTTCCAAATAAACATTAGTCTTTCACCCCATTATTATTCTTCTTAACCATTACAAATCCCTATATGCTCAATTATTTCATGATATCATTAGAAGAATAGAATGGATGAGAATGTAGTCTTATTATAGAAGCTATCAATATCTGGGTCAATAAACGCAATATGTTTTTTAACAGCCGTACAAAACCTATGGGACTTATAATTGCTTTAGATGAGAATGGAGAAGCAACTGGAGACTTATTCTGGGATGATGGAATAACAAGAGGTAAACTTACTAACAGAAATAGATAGGTAGTAGATAGAACGATAGAATGTTAGAAAAATAGAACGGTAGAATAAGAGAGAGAGAGAGAGAGATAATAGAGGTAGGCAAGCAATTTTTTTTCTATTTCAAAACAAATTATGCAAACAATCATGGAGATATATCTTCAGTATGTTAAATTCAAAATTAACATTATGGGCATTTACATGTTCAAGTATTTCATCATTAACAGTGTAACTTTCCCAATAACCTTATCTTATCAAAACTACTTGGAAACAAGGGATCCTTGGTGCTCTCTGAGCTTGATTGTTTTTTTACTTAAACTAGGTAGCATCATCAATGTTGACAGGGTAAGCCATCAGAATATAAACTGAGAGCAAACCCCATTCCTTATTAGCATTGATGGTGTTTATTTATTTATTCGTAAAATTCATTTGCTGCCCATCTCATATCTAATGATTCCAAGAGGTTACCTATTTTGGGTAATGAAACCTCTACAAGAAAACAACCAAGCTCAGGAAGTGCCAAGGACCCCTCATTTCATCACTGAGATACAACTACTCTCCATTATTGGTATTTGAAACTCCTGATTTGTAGGAGCATTTATGGAGATATGGAAAGGATAACAATTCTTAGAAATTCTCAGATGTCTTAGCGCTTAGCAGTAATTCAATAGTTTATTTGCTTGCTAGCAATGGTTTCTAAAGTGCTGCAAAATAACAGTTATCTCTGTGTTTCTTAAATTACCTTTCTCCCTGATATCAAAGACCTCTGTGTTGTATCATATATAATCTTGTTGGTCACCAATGGTTATTTTAAAAAGCCAGCAAAATAACAAGAGGATTTAAAAAAAAAAAAAACAGAACAAACTGGGTGATAATTACTGCAATGAATACTGAATGCCTTTAAGATATGCAGATAATATTGTACTACAAAGTTATTGAACTCTTTTTTCAAGATCTAACATAAGCAGATCTTCATTGCATTAATTTAAAAATAAAGCAATATAAAATGTTATCTCTTTCTTTAAGAAAATGTATGAGCAATGATTTTATGATCAAAAGTAACTGCATTTTAGAATTTGCTAGCAAACTTTCTACTTTTTTTCTGTTAAGAGCAAATCATATTTAGCAATTAAGTGTATGTCTAGAATTTTAATAGGCATATATTGTCTGCTCTGTATAATAAAGCAGTTTGGGTCACATAGTTTTATAAAAGGTTATTATGAGAAAAATGTCTTCCATTTCAAAAATATTCAGTGGGTAACATCTTCAGAATAGAAAAAAAGACACCTTTAGCAGTTTATTTTTTCAGTAATCCATTTGTCAAATACTGACCTGGGCAAGACATTTCTTACTAGTTAATTATTTTTAAAATCTCTTCTTTCACCATGAACAGACTTTATTGTTAATTAGATCATTTTTGAGGAAGGGACACTTTTTTCTGTTATATATTTCAATTAAATTAGATAAAAAATATCTTGGATGTGATAGGAATTCACTGTCCATAATAGAATTTTTTTTTGGGAAATGGAGGCATTCAGCTAATTCGATCTGATGACCTCAGGATTTATAGTTTAGATAGATTCACACTCACATTTTCCCAAACACCAATATCTTCAATTAGGAATTATGCAAGGGTAAAGCATATAAGATGTGTTTTATGACTGATAAAGTTTTGTAGCCTCTGGTCCCTTTCTCACACCCTAGAATCAAACCACTGAATTTCAGCAGCATGTTATCAAAATTGGTGGGATATAAAATATTCTTTCTTGTTATGGCATTTCTAACATTTATTGCTGTATGATTTGTCCATTATTGACAGTTATATACCATCTATAGCAGGGGTCCCCAACCCCTGGTCTGCACAAGGAAGCAAAGCCCCATCCGCAGGATGCAGGCAGCACACAAAACCATGCCCCCACTGGTCTGCGGAAAAACCTCTCTCCACGGAACCGGTCCCTGGTGCCCAAAAGGTTGGGGACCTCTGATCTGTAGAACATTTTATATCAATTTATCTTAGCTTGGGGTATATTTTATCTATTTATTCGACAGTTCTTTCGATTGTTCTATTGATATTATGTTTTATTGTTCCATCTGTTTGATTATCTATAGGTAGATATTTAGACAGACATCAAGACAAGTTATGACCAAATTTGCCAAATAGCATTCAGAATATTAATAATATATATTTATTACATGTAATACATAAATATTTAAAATATTTTGATTAACTTGCTTTAATATTACTTAAAACATATTTTTACTTATATTTTAGATACAGTGGCAAATGAAAAGTATCTCTTATATAACTTTACTGTCACAAATGTAAGTATATTTTCATTAGTGATGGAGATTCCCAGAAATTTCATTCAATTTTAACTGAATAAATATGTTTAAAATATGTAAATTCTTAAAGAAAGGTAGTGGACACTATGTGGCCTGTTATGAAGAATGAATATTTGTTGAAAGAAGTATTTTTTTTTATGTAAGTATATTCCTGCCTATTTTGTTATATAGAATAGCAGAATAAAGGATATTTAAGATTTGTGTATCAGAGCAAGAGTAGAGAATGAGTGGTTAATTTAATACAATATATGTAAAAGTGAGTGCATGATTGGTATACAGATAGTTTGCACGGATGGAAAGCTATAGGGTTACTATAGTGAACAGTGTTGGGTAAATTAATATTTTATTTTATTTTATCTCTAGCTCTAATTTATTTTCCTCATAAATCCTTACTGTTCTTCTGCATCTCTAAATCTTATTTAAACAGTTCCCTAATTTGTAATAAATATGATCAACGGGTTTAGTATTGGGGGAAATCTTACTGAACTTAAATGCTAAAGAAAACTCATTTCATTATAGCAATTAGATTGCATGATGGTAACACATTTTCTTTTCCAAGAGATGTTGATTGTAACGTATTTACAACAAGCTATTGTTTACTTCTTAATTACATGATTTCAGTTTTAAGAGAAATCATAGAAAATATAACTAAGATCAGTTAACAAAAGCGTTGTGTAATATTTTTGCTGTCTTCCAGAAAGTCTTAACTATGGCAGTGAAACATAAAGGCTATATAGATCCAAATAATCTGATATTTGAGAACATCAAGATTCTTGGGTTACCCCTTGAGCCTTCAGATGTGAAAGTGACCTCAAATAATGTGGCTCAATCATATAACTTGAGTGTCAAGTACAATGCTGCAGACAAGGTATACATTGCTGAGTGTTTTCATAAATGTTAATGAAGTTTTTCCCCCCTACAGATAATATCACTTGCTACTCAAAAATAAGCTCTGAGTGTATATACTAGATTTATAATGTAGTCAATAATAATGTTTCGAGAATACATTCCTTTAGCGTTTGCATGCCTTCAAGCTGTTAGGTGGGCAGGAGCTGGGGAAAGAACAGGAGCTCACCCCTCATGCAGTGCTTGTGTCTCAAACTTCTGGTTGACAACCCAACATCTTAACTGCTAATGTTTCTCAACCTTGACAATTTTAAGGCATGCTGGCTGTGGAATTCTGGGAGTTGAAGTCCACATGCCTTAAAATTGTCAAGGTTGAGAAACACTGTAGCTAGACCATGAGCCAAACCATATAGATCAAACTGACTGGCACCAAAAAAAACAAAAACAACCCACCTTATTTTAAGAATTTTATTTTTGTTGTTTTGTTGTTACTTTGATATATCCTTTAAAGATTGATGCAAAAAGAGACATGGAGTTCAATATACATTCAATATTTCTCTTTACTTCACCTATTGAACTGAGAAGAACATTTTGAGACTAATGTAGTCAACTTTAATATTCATAACCAGGTGGCTAGTAGGGATTTGAAATTAATACTCATACAGCCACTTCTAATTTGATTATGCAGCATAATCAAATTAGTACTGCTGGTCTCATCATTTTCCTAAAATAACTGCCTTCTCACTTGTCACACACACCTTGAAGAGGCCCCCAGAATATTTGTGTATCATTTTTTGCCTTGCAAAGCCCTCTGAATTACAGTCTGCTCCTTCAATATTTTGTCGGCAAATCAGTTTCTCCAGCTGATTAATATTGCCAGTTGTACATTATTTAAGAAATAAAAAGGTACAGGTTTCCCTAACAGTCATACTAGATTACAAAAATGTTTCTATTTAATCTGCTGCTTCTAGAATATGCTTTTGTTCATATTTCCTTATGGCCTTTGTACTACCAATAAAAGACATAAAGCGGTTATTTATTAATGTAGTGATACCCTTTTTTAAAACAAAAATGGTTACACATGTGATTTACATGTGATATTTATATGATCCATACTTTGGCTTTTATTGTGAATTTCATAGGTTGCTCATATAAGTGGTCTTCATCTTAAATTGGGGGAAGAACATACAATATCCTGGAAACAGACTTTAAGAGATATTGATAAATTTGACTGTCATCCTGAAGAACATGCATCAAAAGAAAAATGTGAAGCTCTTCGCTGCATATGGGAAGTAAGGAAAAAAAATCCATTTTGTCCTTCTTATGTGTTTTTGCTCTTTGAAGTTCTGTTTGTAGAGACTTCATGGATTTGCATTTCTTTTCCCCTTTATCTACAAACACAAATTGGAGTCAAAATAGCTTATCAACTGAGCATCTGTCCATCAATTTTTCCTAAATGTCCTGTGGAATTTTGTTGAGTACCTTTCCTCTTTGTTGAGTTCACAGTTGACTGTGAGGCTTCCTAACTGATTACTTTTGAACCAGCATAATTAGATAAAATGAAGGTGTACCCACGAGGAGGCATTTTTGAAATGCTGTAATTCAATTCTATAACCTTAATTAGAACTGCATTTGTAAAAATAAAATGTAACAATCATATGGTGAATTATTTGCACCTAGCCACCTGGAAATAGAAATAATGTGGAAAAATGCAGATATTTGTATGTTTCTTATTAATTTGAAATAAATCTAGGAATGTTTCCATGTGAAGTGAACAGAATTGTGGAGTCCTTGCTGCTCTCTGAGCTTGATAGACATTCTTGCAGAAGTTTCATTACCAAACTAGATAACATCTTCAGTGCGCTGAAGCTGTTAATTAGTTTGGTAGAACTAATTAGTTTGGTAGAAACCCCCCAAGCTCAGAAAGCACCAAGGTCAACCCTAAGCTACAAATAGTCCCTTTTATGAACAGAATTGTTTCTGGATAGATTACAACTCTTATACTCTTCCCATCTTTCTCTCCAGCTATGATCTATGTTTTCTTTTTTAATTCAACTCAAGTTTCTTTATCTAATAGCATGATGTTGCTTCCCTTGGCTATTATGTACTCTTACCAATAGCAAAAGTTGTGCTGCTTAAGTTCTTATAGGTATTATAGGTCAATTAAAATAGTACATGTAGGATGAATATGTCTTTTCCTAAAATCCTTGCAAGGGTGAAATGGACAGAAAGAAACATAAAGCATTCATTTTTCTATATACAAGTAAATTAAACCAGTGCTTTCTATTTAATATATAGGAAAGTAACCTCAGTGTTCAACTCATTAGCATCATGACTACTATAGCTAAGCATTTTGGGTACAGACCAACTAAAGCTGAGCATTCCTGCAGCGCTAAGTAGACAGAAATATATCTTCCTGGTATCCTTTCTCAGCAGATTTCTCTTTGATTCCACAAAAAATGCATGGAATAGGACAATATTTGTTTATTATTCATGAAACTCCCTGCATTTCTCAAGCTGTTCCAAAAGAAGCAAGATACTGTGACTTGCAGGGAGAAAAACACATTGTATAAAATCATTTTGAATTATTTTGGATGCCCTCAAAGGCTTTCCTCCTTCAGAGAGATGCCAATCAGATTCAATTCCCATTTAACTCTCAGTTACTTGAATCAATAGTTCTTAAAAGTCCATAATTATGTTGGATTCTGCTATTTCTAAATTACTTGCAATGTTTGTTTCCAATAGCAATTCCAAATATTCTTTCAGCTGTCTGTATTTCAGCTGCAGAATCATTTTAATCTGATTGAACACGACTTGTTGGTCCTTTTAACATTAAACTGTGATTCTAATGTGTTAAAGTTTTACAGCTTTCCAATGCAAAAATATGTCCCCAAAATAAACACACATTCAAAATGATCAGGAGGCATAGTTTAGAAAAACTTTATCTATAATATATATATATATATATATAAACATGATACATACAGTTTCATTCAGCTCTGGGAAAAATCAACAACTCTTAACTTGGAGATCAGAAAAAACAACATGCGGAAGACTAAGACTCACCCAGACCTAAGCTGGATCACATGCCTCACACAGCCAATACTGTGTCTTAATCAAAAACAGATCTCATTGGCTAGTTTGTTGATTTGGCTATTCCAGTTCATAACATTTCTTACACAGTGACATAATGAAATCTTGAATTTTTTTTCATGTGGCATGGGAAGTATATTTAATGCTTCTTGATTCAGTTCATTAATGGGGTAGGCAATGAAAATTTTGCCATTCCAGTGACAAAGGATGCTTCCAAATATAGAAATCTTAACAGTGGCCTAGAAATTTTATCCAGCTATCCAATTTCATTGCTGACAGTCCTACAGTTGAGTTTGAATTTGTAATCACATTTCAGGATCAGGCTAGATTCTAGACTGTTATTTATTTTGCTTTTCTTTTATGGTTTGGGACTTTAAATAAATGATTTTGATTTTTTTTAATTCTTGTTTTTCTTTTTCAATAACATTTATTTCATATTTTTATATTCATTTTTACAACATGATGCTCCTGTACCCTCTTCTCCAATAAGCTATTCTAAAATCCTTTATAAGGAAAAAATACCGTCGAAATAAAATAAATGAATATATAAAAATGGAACTATGTAAAATGACAGTATGTCTAGTTATATGGAACAAACCCATCATTTTTATACAATTCTATGAAGGTAGTAGCTATGGGAAACCTGATTTTGAAAAGTCTTGCAAACTAATTGAAATATTGATTCTATTCAATTCAGAAATTATGGATTTAATCTCTTTCCAATTCTATTCACTCATTAATATATCCTTTTTTATTTTTAATAAACTAGCCTTCTGCTGTTGCTGATGTTCCATACTGCTACTATCCTTCTGACAATGGTTACCTGGTTGACCAAATTGAATATACATCATCTGGTTTAACAGCCATTCTTGGTAGAACCACTGACTCTGTTAGACTTTCAGGACAGCAAGTCCCTCTCATTGACAATCTTCGTTTGGAAGTAAAATATCATGACAATAACGTGCTTCAATTTAAGGTAAACCCCTTTGTAAAATGTTACAGTTGGTCATTTTGGAAACAGATTGATGGTTTTGTAATTATTAGTAAACAGTTTGATTCTGGCTATCTGGTTAGAAGTTGCCAAACTATCTGGTTTCAAAATATGGAACACAAAATATAGAAAAATAGCACTATTGATATACTGTGTCTTGGTGCATACATTTTTAATTCTTATTAGCATTTTCATCTAATCATTCTATTCTCTGTTTTATAACATGTTAACTTTTCAGCACAAGTTCATTCCAGCCTATTTTTGCAGTAGTGATTTTATTTTTATTTACCTGTGAAAAGATATCAATATCCATTTTCTTTTCAGTTTTCCAATGTAGACATTTTTTTTTTCAAGTTACATCAGAAATGCATTGATATGCAATTTCTCCAACTGCAGCTATATACAATTTTCTTTATAATATTCTTTTGGTGCACACACACACACAGAGACACACATACCCACACACACACAAGCACATATATACACAAATACATATACTCACACATACTTTGCATAGCTCCACTCTCACCACACCACAGTTGCTTTATGACTCTAATTCACAGAGAAGTTGAAAATAAATCGAACTATAAATCTCTTAATCCTTGATTCCTTATCCTTTTAACTGGAGTTTATTGACCACATTTTCTTTAAGGAATCCACTTGCCTATGTATACAGTATTTATCAGACTCTTTTTTCTTTGTTGGAAGATCATAAGTACCATGTTTTTATCTGTTAAGAAACTTTTACCATCATTAAGTGGGAGAATATTATAAAATGAACACGCAGTTCCCTGATATATATTTTATGACCAGGTTTTAAACCTAATACTCATTTTTATTCTTAGATTTATGATTATAGTAAAAAGAGATTTGAAGTTCCAGTGCCTCTGAATCTTCCCCAAACACCTGTAAGTACTCTGGAAAACCGTCTCTATGAAGTGTCAATTCAGAACCACCCATTTGGAATTCAAGTTCGGCGCAAAAGCACTGGGACAGTCCTGTAAGTAGAAATGTGATATTACAGAGGAAATATTTATTGGTGAATTAAAGACTGTTGTGAAGAATGCTGTGGATGGATTACAGCATTAAGCATTTGGGCCACGTATAAGATTGCACATATTTAAAAATGAAACTTTAGATATCAGTGCTGTGATATCAGAGAAATTTTCCATACTTTTTCTTAAAATAATATCTCCCTTCATCACTGCTATCACCTTGATGGGGAATCCAATCATTTTGAGATTAATTAATTAGTTGCTTGATGGATTGATGGATGGACTAGAATAGCTTCTTAGCAATTTTTCTGGAAAAATTGAATTTCATTCCATTCCAATAAAAATTCCATTTTTTTTTCTAAATTTTCCAAATTTTATTCCATAAGTTGTTGAAACACCATTGTACTATTCTTAAAATTCCCTAGATTTTGCTTTACGGTGAGGTTTTCATTAAGCACCATGTGAATCAAAGTAATTGCAGGGTTTTTTTATGCTCATCAGGTAATGAACTATGTTTAGCTTAGCATCACCTCCTTTACCTCTCTTCTGCAGTGATCAAACATCATGGAAAAATAAGCAAGAAAATAGCACAAGAACATCAAAACCTTTTTAGTGCTTTGTACATACTGGTCATAGATTCCAGAAGATTCATGGTTTATTTTTCCCTATTATCAGATCAGTTCATGTTTTTTTTTTAAAAGAGAAAAACATCATGAAAGCTCAAAACACCATCTCTCTCTCTCCCTCCCTCCCTCCCTCCCTCCCTCCCTCCCTCCCCCTTCCCTCCCTCCCTCCCTCCCTCTCCCTCCCCCTCCCCCTTCCCCTCCCTCCCCCTCTTTCTCTCTCTTTGTGAGCTCAGGAAAATGAAGACACTAATAGAAAAGGAAGCTTGAGACAGGAGGGAAATCAGTTAGATGCTAACTTTCAGTGAGGAAAAAATGGGGAGCTGTAGAAAAAAGTTTGTCGGAAGTCTTTTTTTTTTTTTTTTTAAAGAATACATAGAGGAAATGACAATGGAGATTCTCAGTAATCCATGTTGTGGTTTTCCCAAAGGTGTTTTTCAAAAGGCAACTGGACTTTCTTTGCTTTTGCTTGAATATGTTTTGCTTCTCATCCAAGAAGCTTCTTTATTTCTGAACTGAGAAGCAAAATGTCTTCAAGCAAAAACAAAGAAAGTCCAGTTGCCTTTTGAAAAAGCACTTTTGGTACATAGAGGAAATAAAAGAAAGAACAAGGAAGAGTACATATAGATACTTGGGAATTATAAATGCAGCATTTGGAAAACTAAAGTTCAGAATGATCTACAGAGCAGATAAAAATGCTAAGAAAAAAAAATGGGCTTCTCCAGATAAATGTATCAAAATTATAGAAAGAATAAAATAATAATTTTAAATTATAGGAAAGCAGATTGCAACTGTATGTTATAAAACAACTTCTTGAGAGTCGGAAGAGTTTGATAGTTAAATCAGTTCCACAGAGAATTGGGGATTGTTTTTCATTGGAGCTGTTCAGTTGGAGGCTGAAATTTATTTTCAATTCCTGCACTGAGCAGGACCTAAACTTGGCCTAAGTCCAATTCTATGATTTTTCAAAATGTTAAAATACAACTGCAAATGCTTAGTGTTGTTGATCTTTATCATGGTATATAGGAGATGAGTGCTATTACAGTTCTATAACCTGCTGATATTTCTGTCTCACAAAACTGTCCAGTAGTTTTAATCTACAGCTATCAATATTCTGGCTTCTTTCATTTCTGGGTCTCTTGTCATCAATTACCTTTCAAGAACATGTCAGTTCTCTAGGAGTGCTATCTAAACCCAGAAACTAAAAGAGAATTGTTTCAAGGTTTGAATGCAATTCAATTTTAAAATTCACTGATGAATCAGAGATGTACAGGAATGAAGTTGATAGCTCAAGAATATATAAAATGGAAAAGCTGCAATTTTCCCCCCATTTCTCAAGAACAGTCACTATAGAATACTCTTTTTGTTTTAATATCCCAAGGAAAGAACTTTGTGTTTTGATGATATTAGAAAATGTCAACAAGTATTTGCTCTGTCTGCAAGAGCAATGACATTTTACTGCAAGGTAGAAAAATCCCTATTTTAGTATAGCCACATGCTTTTTTTTTTTTTTTTTTTTTGCTAATAGCTGGTATATTTTTTCATTTGGCAAATGATTAAAAACCCAACAACTTCATATTGCATTGCTATTTCTGTGTTTTAATATTGTTTATTGTTCAGTTATAGTTTGAAATTTAATCATTGTTCCAATTGCAAACTTTTTTTTCTTATAGCTGGGATTCCCAGTTACCTGGCTTCACTTTCAGTGATATGTTCATTCAGATTTCAACTCGCCTACCTTCACAGTTTGTATATGGGTTTGGGGAAACAGAGCATAAACAATTCCAGCACGAAATGAATTGGAAAACTTGGCCAATGTTTGCAAGGGATCAGTCTCCTGGAGTGAGTCTTTCTTTCTTGATAGAATTCACCTTTACTTATTTATTGTAGATTTTAACTAAGTAAAGAGGCTAAATTAATGCCTCACAGTTCTTTTAAAATGAAATGTATACATTTATTTCACATTTTTGTACATCACTGTATTTCACAATGGCTCCAGGCAGTTAGCAACATAACAAAAGATATATTAAAAGTCTACAGTAGTCAATATTAATAATCAATTAAATTAAATTAAAATGGCCATTCTAGTAAGTAATAATAAATGAAACCATTCGTGTGTTACAATTTTTATTGTTTTATTTTTTTTTTAATTTTTCGTAGCTAGACTGCTTAGAATATAATCAATTCTAAATAAAACAAATCAAGTAAGAAAGTAAGTACAAAGCTTTATATGACAAAAACATACAATCAAACTACAACTCTCTGGAAAAGGTTCCACCTTTATCAATTTCTAGAAAGTGGTTAATAATGGGGCAAGTTCACTTGAGGGGAGACTAACCCACAGTACCAAACCACAACAGAGAATTGACTGCCTAGCTTCAGTCCCTCTCACTTTGAGAATCAGTAAAAGTTTTTCATAGAATATATAGTAGCATGGATGAAGTGGGAAAAGGAGTTCTTTATGCCCAGGTAAATATAGTAGTGCTTTATAGGTCAAAGCATTTCTTTGAATTTGGTGAACTTGGAATGAGCTTGGAAATCTACTAGCAATACTATAGCATTGGTGTAATAGTTCTCAATACAGTGCTAATTAGTAAGCAAGCCACTATATTCCATACTAATTACCACAGCCAAGTGGCCTTCAAAAGCAGTCCAGTAGAACACTTTGCAGCAGTTTAGCCAAGTAATAAGGAAGTAACATGTAATTTTACGAAATCCCTGTACACCTCGGTACAAAGCCATCTTGGCCATATTTCCACCAGCCCATCCAGCAATTACTCTGAGTCCAGAATGATCTCCACCTTATAAATCTACTTCTCAAGGTAGTGCTTGCTTTTTAAGTGAGTGGAAAGCACAATAACCAAGTAGCAACTCCTTGGGTTTATGCTTCAGGGATCAACATATGTCTGTCTCATCCAATCCCAATCCTAACTGTTTCCAAACATCAGGACAAAACTGGGTAGGCTATGCAATCTTAAGTATCATTTATCTACCTTCACCTTAAACCAATAGATGACTTCTTCCATTGTCTTCATGTGGATATTGAAAAATAATAGGAGAGGATTAACCAATGAGGCATCCTTAAAACTATCCAACCATTGTGTTAACCACTTTTCTCACAAAACTAATGCCTAGAATCACTCTCTAAGATAAGAGTGGCATCATTGCAGAATATTGTTTTAGATCCCCAGCTGGAAGGCAATTCAGAAGGATTTCAGTGGTGATGGCATCAAAGACAGCCAAGAAATCTAAAATATTCACACTTCACTCAGGTCCACATAAAATATGTTGTATTGAGAATGTAATTTATTGCATTCCATCGATATTCACAGGTTGGTAATAAAATATATATGCTAAACAATGCACTTAGTTATGACATTTTAAAAAAAATCTTTATGCCTATAGTACAGATTTAACACTTATGGAGTTCACCCTTTTTATATGGCCTTGGAAGAGGATGGCAATGCTCATGGAGTCCTATTGTTGAACAGTAATGGAATGGGTAAGTTCATTTCCTGGTGTCTATTCTAAACTAATATAATGCATATCATATTGGTGAACATTAATTCATAGGCCAGATCAGATTCAACGTGATTTTTGCCAATCCCTGCACTGTTAATTCTACCAGTATGAAAATATGAAGTTCTTATTTTCTTGTTCAATCTGAAATATTTATCCATCTACAAGCAAATAGCTAAAACAACTTACCATTTCTATATAAAAAAAATAAATCCGCCATCGCAGATGTGACACTATATGTCTGTTTTTAGCATATGTTATTCCAAGTTAAACAACAGATTACTATTATTTGTGAAATAGCTTAGCCAAAGCAAATAATTTGATACAGTTACTTGATTCCTCTTGCTGGGAAATGTCTCTGTGGTTAGCAGATGAAATATAGCATATTTCCTGTGATTTCAAGGGAGAAGATTGTACATCAGGTTGTTCATCTCGGAGATGAAATGACAGAGGAGTATTTTCATTTTTATTGTTTGATTTTTTATTTTATATAATAGTAATTTCAGGTCTATGTAATATTTATTTCCCCTTTGTGAATTTTCAGAGGTAAAATTCCAGCCAACTCCTGCTTTAACCTACCGTACCATTGGAGGAATTTTGGACTTTTACATGGTTTTGGGTCCAACTCCAGAACAAGTCGTTCAAAGATATACTGCAGTAAGAACTCTTATTACAAAAGTTCAACTCTAAAATATGATTATAACATTCCTTATTATACCAACACAACAGAGAGCATATAATCCCTATTTCCTTTTGTTTTTTTATTAGCTCATTGGACGTCCAATTTTACCTCCGTATTGGGGCTTGGGATTCCAGTTGTGTCGATATGGCTACAAAGATGATGCAGAAATATCTGAGTTGTATGACAAAATGAAAGCAGCTAACATATCATATGTAAGTTATTTAAAAATGAGCATTTTTTTCACAGCTTTCTATCCAAAAAAAGAGTATGTCATAAAATTACTTGAGTTAGTTTCATATGAATAAGAAGCTATGCATTATCGTTATGCTAAATTGTGGTAGTATGAAACAGAAAACTTTCTAGAGCTGCTAAAACACCTAAAAGCTCTGGATAAATATTTAAAAAGTCAGCAATTCAAAAGAAATGTTAAAATAGAAAGAGATTAATTGTCAATATGACAAAGTTATAATATCAGTTATTTCTTATGGATAATAGCACTACTAGTCTAAAAACAAACATGCACTGGGTTTAACAGAAGTTCTCAAAAACTAATGTAAGTGGTGCAGTAGTCTTTTGTTCCTTGATGTTTCATTCATTTATTTATTTGTTTATTTGTCTTTTTTGTTTATTTATTTATTTGAAAATGAATAGTTTATAATGGGTTTGTTATAAAAAAACACACATCACTTCACAAAATTATCTGTTTTCCTTAGGATGTACAATATGCGGATATTGACTACATGGAGCGGCAGTTGGATTTCACTTTAAGTTCCAATTTTGCAAATCTTCCAGCTCTGATTAACAGAATAAAAAAGGATGGAATGAGATTTGTCATTATTTTGGTAAGTGCTATCCATTAATTGTTCAGACAAGTTGCTTAATCCAACAACACAGACACAATTATCCATCTATCAACCCATCCCAGTTATGACAATATGTATCTCTGGATGGCTTGCTTTGCTTTTTTAGATATCTGAGCGCAATGATAATTTCCTAAGGTTTCCTAAGACTTAAGGAATATTTCAGCCCTCTTTGGTTGTGCAAAGTTGACTATTGTTGACTATTTCCCCTAAAGTCATTTCTCTGATTCTCTATGCATACAGATATTTTTTAATGCAAAATTATCATTACAGTAAGATGACCTTATTTAATCTTGGCATAACTCCTTCTCAATTTTGTAACCTTTAGATGCTCCATATTCCATTCTAATTCTAATTTTTCCTGAACAAAAATGTTTTAAATGGCAGGTCAGTGTGCTAAACACACTCTTGTTTTTAAAGGCAGAGGAATTTTTTGCTTTCTCTCATTATGCATCGGATATTATTATTGTGTTCTTGGGTGTTGTTGAATGAGTTGTATAATGGTTGTCTACTTCCTGACAACCACACCAACAATCTTTTGCCACTATTTTGATTGTGAATATGACTGCCATTAATACAATATAAGCTTCTTTTACTTTTATTTTAATATTTTATACCACAATTATTCTTGTGAATTATATGAGTATGAATTATACAAATTATATGAATAACTGAGTATGATAGAAGTGCAAATACAGCTTCTTTATCTAAATTGTGCTATTCTTTGATTGGGATTGATGTTGGAATGCTATATTTAAGCACTGAGGTTTCTCCTGTGTCCTGTTTCCATTATGACCCCAGTAAAATCTCTTAAATTTGATCTTTACTTCAGTTAAGATTTGAAAGAAATACTGCTTCTAAGAAAAAGAGAATCAACTATGTCTTTTTGTTCTCTTCTACTTCACAGTCCCATGTACACTTTCTAGCTTTTCACTATAGAGTAGGTTGTGAAGAAAGTCTATAGAGCTTGTTCCTATAGACCAAAAGTGGAAATAATTTTGGACAATGTGAAGTTCTTCCATGAGAAAGGTGTGTTGCTTCTTGTAACATAGTCTTTCTATATCAGGATGACTCCCTAATTGTCAGGAAAATCTTTCAATAATCCCTTCCATTTATTTGACCTCAGCATAACAGTCTAGAACTCCAGTTTGGTGTAATTGTTAAAACATCAGGCTAGAAATAGGGAGATTATGAATTCTAGTCCTGCCTTAGGTACAAAGCTAGCTGACTGATGTTGGGCCACTCTCTCTTATACATAGAAATGACAAACCACTTCTCAAAAACCTTATGAAGAAACTGCAGGAACTTGTCCAGGCAATCACCAGGAATCAACAATAATCCAAAAGAAGGAAAGAAAGAAAGAAAGAAAGAAAGAAAGAAAGAAAGAAAGAAAGAAAGAAAGAAGGCAGTTATATTTGTCATTTCCACAGCTGTTACATTTCCACTATAGGATTGCCTGTGCTGTATGTTGGACTTCTAGATTTAGATATAAATCTAAAGAGCATATTGTTTCATTTCAGGATCCAGCCATCTCAGGAAATGAAACTGATTATCCTGCTTTCACAAGAGGACTTCGGGATGATGTTTTCATTAAGTGGCCTAATAGCAATGATATTGTGTGGGGGAAGGTAATATTTTATAATTGTAATTTTGTGCCTTGCCTTTGTTCCAGAGAATAGCATTCAATGTAGCTAACAATTATCCTTCCTTCCTTCCTTCCTTCCTTCCTTCCTTCCTTCCTTCCTTCCTTCCTTCCTTCCTTCCTTCCTTCCTTCCTTCCTTCCTTCTTTCCTTCCTTCCTTCCTTCCTTCCTTCCTTCCTTCCTTCCTTCCTTCCTTCCTTCTTAGAAGCTGCCCAATTTAGTTGATTCTGGACAGCTAATGATACAAACAACCAATAAAAAATATTTCCAGTAAGATGGCATGGTCTGATAAAATAGAACCAAACAAGTAACAAAAAGAGCAAGGTCTGATCTTTAAAAACAGCCACTATTCCTCATATTCCAGTTCTTAGGGAAATAAACATGTCCCCAAGAATAATTTCATCTTCAGATTTCAGCCCAGTCCAAGCAAGACTGAGTGATTCTAAGATGTTTGACCTGCTGATTCCATAGATCTTTAATCTTTGATTGTGGATATGATGGCACTATCACAGGCAGATCCAGTGTACAATCTGGGTGTCCTTCTGGACTTGTGGCTGTTGCTTGGAGAGCAGGTGGCAGACATGACTAGGAGGAACTTTGCATGATTATATTCACTTGCACTCATTCCTATACTGTATTGAGGTCTGTTCACAGTCACTCAGCCCTTGTGATTTCCAGACTGGATACTGAAACATGCTGTTCATGGTCTGCCCTTGAAGAACTTTCAGAAACATCAGCTGATGCAACAGCAAGTGTTGCAGGCAGTATATTGCATTGGTTATTCAGCACTATGAGTTAAAGTGGCTCTCAGAGTGCTTCTGGGTACAACTCAAAGTGCTGGTTACCACCTGTAAGTTCATTCATGGCTTGGAAATGGCTTTCTTATAGGACTGCACATATATTGTTAGTTTATGAAAGTCAGTTGGCAGGGGTCAAAAGGAGAGTCTTTTATGTCATTGTGCCCAGTCTTTGGAACACTATTCTCTCTGTGATTAGGTTAGCCCTTTGCTAGTGGTTTTTTGTGCCTGGGTTTGGGGCCCTTGGTATGTAATATAGCCTATTGTCATTTTATGATTTGCTCAGCTGTCTATTATTATATTATGTATTTTATAGGTTTTATCTATTTTATTACTTGCCATCTAGAGTCACATATTCTATGTGAAATGGGTGTACACAAGTCAAGTTAACAAGTATGCAAGATCCAGAAACAAATGTGCATCCAGAAACACAATTAGCAGACAAGATAGATTTGTACAAAGTCCTCCAAGAGGACCCATAATTGTGCACCAACACTGAAGGAGTGCTTACCCCATCCAATACCAGAGATGGAAAATCTTCAGATCCAGGGGCCATCTTAATCCATACCTCTATAGTCTTGCTAGGACTGAGTCAAAGAGTAACACTGAAGAACAGATCCTGGGAAGAATAGATAGAACTGAAACATGGCATGAATATCAAATACTAAGGCTGCTTTCTCCAAAAGCAGCCCTTCCTGTCTTTGTTACATTTGTTATAGCCATATTGTGATTTTCTGCCATTTCTCCTACAAAACATCAACTTCCCTTGACTCTTGCCAATATTCTGCATTTCAAAGCACCCTATCGTGCAACCAGATAACATACTTCTCCAAATAAGTAACTAGCCCAGACATCCAGGGTATTTTATCATAGTGCACAACAGTCTGAAACCTGTTTAGCCAACCTGCTTCCCACTACCACTTATGTTCTTCACATCAATCTCCCACCCTCTCCAGTCTTACCTGCATTGCTGTAGAAAAAAAAATCTTTCCCACTGAAAGATAACCAGTATAGCTGTACCCTTCCCTGATCTCAGAGCAGACAGCAGCAACAGAGATGTGAAAAAAGAAAAAAAAAAGAAAAGAAAGAAAAAGAGAGAGAGAGAAAAAAAGAAAGAAAGAAAGAAAGAAAGAAAGAAAGAAAGAAAGAAAGAAAGAAAGAAAGAAAAAAAACCAGAAACTGTCAAAAGCTGAAACATTTAAGGCAGATTCTAGATCCTTTTCTATGCAAGACAAAAACAATAACCAAGATAGCTGCTGTATTATGTATGCCAACTGCATGACAGCTGGAGGATACAGTTGTTGTTGTTTTTCTTTTTTTTGCTGGACCTCCCATATGTTCCCACTCCCATTATTGAACAGCCCCATCATCCATATGCCTACATTCTCTGGCATACAAAGGATCCTTGCATCCCCATTTCCTCCATTGCTCAGCTAAGAACTCAATCCAGGGCAGATGTCAAGTCATCATCACTATTATTGCTGAGTAAAAAGGATCCCCATGTTTCCAGTTGCACTACAAATCTCCTCAACAACCAAGCTGTAGGACCTCTAGCTTAGAGTCACAACTGCCTTATTCCCTTTGCCTTGTTTTTATGTAATTTTCCCCATTTTGGTAACAATGAAAGGCAAACCTTATTTTGACAATGGATTATTTGTAAGAAAAAGTCTTCCTTTCCTTTAATTAATTCTTAAAGCTAATTATTTTCAAATGTTCTTTTTATTTTAGGTGTGGCCATATCTTCCTGACGTTGTTATAAATTCATCACTCAGCTGGGATGACAAAGTGAAAGTAAGTGTAATTTATTCATGTGCTGCTTCGGTAAAAATATCCCAAGCAAATTTTTATACTAATAAACCTTAACAGTAATTTTAGTAGTAATAGTAGCAGCAATTATAGCAAAAACCAATATAACTTCAGTCACATTGTTGAAAATCTGTAATTGGAAGAAGCTGGATGAATGTACTCTGATCTGTAGGTTGTTGGAACAAGTATGATCTCTGAATGCCTGAATGGCCAATTCTCTGGTTTATTTTGAGATAGATTAAATTTAGATTAAAAATCACAAAGCTTGTACCTCATGGGGAAACATTATGAGAAAAGCACAGCAAAGCTGCTGCTCCCTGAATCTCACAGCAATAGATACAAAGGTTAAAATTCAAAGAACTCTGAAACTCATTTATAATCCCATTGGAATTTATATACATCCTTTCACAATACCCCCTATAATGAGGCAAAGTATATTGGTTACCTTGTATAGTATTTAATACCAGTGTCTGCTATTAAGTACCAGCTGCTAGGATATAACAGTAGAAAATAATTGTTGACACAGAATTCTTGACCTGTTGACCTGATTCAGCAGGCTTTTCTTTCACACTTACTGCATGGGAAGAGTTTTATTAAAAGTCTGGGTTTTTGTTAGAAAACTATTCTAGTGTGGAAACATTCAAAACCCCATTGGTTTTTTTTATCAGTCCAAACATGCTTCCTGACACACATTTACTCATAAGTAAGCTCTGCTACTTTCTCAGTGACTTATTGGAATTGAGTAAGTGTAGTTTAATGAAAAAAAAAAAAAAGGACTAGCGGTGATACGATAACAGTGTTCTAATATCTAAAGGGCTGCCACAAAGAAGAGAGTATCAACCTATTCTCCAAAGTACCTGAAGGTAGACCAAGAAGCAATGGATGGAAACTAATCAATGAGAAAACCAACCTAGAAATAAAGATAAATGTCCTGACAATTAATCAGTGAGGGCTTGCCTTCAGAAGTTGCGGGTGTTCCATCACTGGAGATTTCTGAGAAGAAATTGGACAACTACTTGTCTGAAATGGTATAGTGAAGATTTCCAAGGTCTCTTCCTACTCTGTTATTCCAGGAATAGAATTATAAAGATTCCAGAGAGCCCTAAGAATTTTTTTAAAAACCAGTGCTTTTTTTTGTCATAGAACATACCAGAACAGAGTTCCAGCACCTTTTTTTGATGGATTTTCCAAGTTTTAAAAATAACTTTTGAAAATTTGATGTTTGGTCCACGTAGACTTGAATCGCCCTGTTGAGTGTAGCAGGTTGGCAGCAAAATCATTAAAATGGTGCATGCGGGCTGCTGTGTATCGAGTCCGATGCATGCATACTTCGTCCACACTGGTTATGATGGCGCTGCTCAGCTTGTGGCACTGCTCAGCTTGTGATTGGTCTTGTAATCATGCACTGAGTGCTTACTTCAGATGGCGACCATTATGTTTTGTTACACAACTGACATGTGTGAGTGTGTGTACAGTAATTGACCATGTGTGAAAGGTAAATAATGTCTTTATTTTAAAAAATGGTTAGTGAATTGAAAATCTTTTTTAATTTTTTAGTGTAAAAGTGTGACCCCAAATTTAAAAATGAAAAAAAAAACTAATTACTTCTCAACCACCAATCCTGCTAAAAACTGAATATATATATATTTTAAATAAAAGATTAATAAGATGTGAGTTCCGGCACTTTTCTTCTTACAAAAAAAGCACGGTTAAAGGCTATGCATAAAATTATGGATATTTTATGTGAAGCAAGCATAGAGTGTTCTTAAAATATGTAAAATGAAATGATTACATCTCTGAAATCTTATTAACTTCTGCTTATTAGATGTGCAGAAGATATTGGATGGAATATATTGTATCACACAGATGATGTTACCTAATTGTATAATGAAATATCTGCAAGCATACAACCAAGCTCATGGAGCACCAAAATCACAGAGGTCAACTCTGAGCTACCAATATTCTCTTCTATTGAGATATAATATAACCTTTAAAAAAAGCATAACTAACATTCAAAATACTCCTGAAACTTTAATTACTTTAGGTAATTAATCAGATCAAGATATTTTGGCAGAAATAAATGTGAAGTTCTTTATTTAGAAAATAGAAGTCACACACAAAGAAATAGAATTGGGTATACCTGGCCATATTAATTGTGAAAAGAATTACAGAATAGTAATTAATTATAAACTGGATATGAATGAACAGTGTGATGAGACTACACAAAAGGTAAATGCTATAGACTATATCAACAGAAGTTTACTTTCTAATACATGGGATGTTTTGTTTTCTTCTTCACATTTTCTGTTCTTCTTCAGTTTTACAGTGCTTGGACTGCTTTCCCAGATTTTTTTCGCAAATCTACAGCTCAGTGGTGGAAAAAAGAAATTGAAGAAGTCTACAATAACCCCATCAATCAATCACAAAGCATCAAGTTTGATGGACTATGGATTGTAAGTTTCTATCTTGTGTAATGTTTTATCTGATAAAGTTAGTAACATTATTTCTAGTTAATGCTTTCTACATTAATCAGTGTTTTATTGATTTTAACAGTAACAAAATATTATTTTAAGACTATAAATTATATTTCTAGGGAGCTTGGTAATTCCCATTAATTTTCTATTCCCAATTATTGCTAAGCCAACTCGTTTAGAAGACTTTAAGTTAGGGAAATAGACCTAAAATATAGAAAATTGATAAATAACTAATAACTGAACGACTGAATGAATAAATAAATAAATACAGCTTACTTCATCATAGCACATCATTTGTATAATTTTACAAATAGTATAAATTAGAAAGAAGCAATATCATTTTGTACAAAATTTGCATGCAATTTTCAAATGAAACATTTAGCTATAATGTTAGGTATACACTTCATAAAATGTTAGTGAAATTTTTAATAACAGTCTCTGTGTCTTATTTGTTTTACTATTTAAGGATATGAATGAACCTGCAAGTTTTGTCAATGGTGCAGTTACTGGTTGCAGGAGCCCTGAACTAAATAATCCTATATATATGCCAGGTAATTATCATTATAACACTGTATTCTAATTTTTTGGAATGTTGGTAAATTTGAGGCCAAAATATCAACATGCCAGAATTTAGATTAAGCCTAACTTTCTAAAATGATTTTTTTTAGATTCAGTCAGACTCATGATTCTGGTAAAAAATATTTTAGAAATAGCGCTATTCTATCTCTTCATGTACCTTTGGCTGAGTTCTCTCACAAATTTATTATGCACATTGTGTATGTTACATTTCACTGATGTGAAATCACTATAGGCCAAGGCATGTAAAATATTTTACCTAAAAAAGTAGAAATTTACATTTTTAAGTTTCAGACAAAGATATATCTAGTTCTGTTAACTTCCTTGAATTTATTTATTTTTTATTATTTTTATCAGACATTCTGGGAAAACATGTGGGACTGAATGAGAAAACCATGTGTATGGAAAGTGAACAAATTCTGCCTGATGGAAGCCCAGTTCGACATTATGATGTCCACAATTTATATGGATGGTCACAATCTAAGCCTACCTATGAGTAAGTTATCTTCCTCTGAGTAGTAGCATCACTTTAATAGTTGTTTAGTAGTAGTTATAAAAGTTGTTCCATTTAATAAGTAGAATCCTAGTTTACTACAGTTAATTTGCATGAGAGATTAAAAGGTTATACATGTACAGTATCTTAGTTTAATTCTTTGATGTTGTTGTTTCAAATAATAACATCTAAATGTGTATTTCTTTAAATTGCTCTGCAATGGTTCAAATATTTTAACATTATAGCTAGAGTCAGGGCTTTTTTTGTCATAGAACATACCAGAATGGAGTTCCGGCACCTTTTTTCGATGGATTTTCCAGAGTTGCATTCTTTTCCTATTGTTTCCTTCCTATCCCCATTTTTTTTTTCAAAATGCCCTGCTGGCAGTACGGTACAAATGGGGTTCCTTCCGGCACTGTCTCCCTAGGAGGAGACATAAGGCACTGGAGCACCACAGCCAGAGCATGGCTTGATTGGCTGGGTCAGACCATGTGATCTGGAAGCCAATGGTGGCGGTGGGAGACACATAAACATGGAGGCCATATTTCATGAGAAGGTGAGTGAGACTTTGCCCTGCCTTACAGAAGGTGGGGTGTGAGGTTAAAAAGAGGCAAAGTGAGAGGAAAGAAAGATGGCTGGCATGGAAGCTTGCCCGACAGCGAAACTTTGCTGTTTTGGTTCTTTGGGTAGTTCAAAGGCTACAAAAATCTCTTTTTAGTCTTTTATACTTATATTCAAACTGCAGAGGGAAAGAATAAGAATAAAGCCAATGTCTTGTGATTTGTAATTATTATTATTAATAATATATATTAATTATGTATTGGTCAGATGTAAAGATAGACCTACAGTATGAGGTTTAATAAGATCTATTTATTAAATTGGGTTTAACTTAAAGGTAAATTAAAAGTAATCTATTCACTGACAAAGTTTCAACTTGAATTTGTTTCAAGTCAATATACATATTAAACTCCAAATATATTTTTTTCCACCTTGCTTGACAACTTCTTAAAAATATTTCAATCTTTTACAAGCAACCAAATTTTGTTTTATTGGGCCAATTTCATTCCACATAGAAAGCTGACATTTCCACTCATTAAACTAAATGGGCATGCCAGCGGTTAATGTCCCAAAATATTAATAAAATGCCTTCTTGTAATTTAAAGCTGCACAGTGCATAGTAACATTAATAGTATTAACTTACCTTGAACAAAATTCTAATCTTTTAGATACATTAAAAAAAATTTTTTTTTTCAACTACAAAGATAAACCTTGTAGGGTAGGCAAGGCGGGTTGTATGACATGTGTGAGTTTGTTTTTTTTACAAAAAAGCACTGGCTAGACTTATAGGGTAAATTGCATGATAGACACCTGCAGTTGAAGATTTGTTGAAAATGAACTGAGTTTTTGAGATTTAATTCATCTGTTCTTAGACCCATCGCTATAATAAAAATTACTGACTATAACTGGCATATTCAATAATGTAATACTGAGTGCAAGAGATGATACATTTTTAATTTTTATGTTTCTATCCTGCTCTTACTTCAAGGAATTTCTTGGCAATTTAACAAAGCCTAGCAGAAATATCCTTTCCATAGACCAGATATCAAACAAGTGATCTTAGGCATATTTGTCATGTCTTAATATTCATTGGCTCTATAGCATTTTACAATATAGTCTGGTATCTGAAAATCTCAGAGGACTACTTTCTAAATTTACCACTTGGATCCCTTGTATTTATAAGAAGGAAATTATCTTTAATTACCAAAGATAAAAGTTAGGCTAAGCTATAACTTACATACCAGATTGGCCTAAGATACTTTGCTGTCTGAGATAAGGGGCTACTGCCTTTCATGGGTTGAATATTTCTTCAATACTGATGATAGAATTCTCTCTTTTATTTGAAAGTAGCAGAGTAGTTAGGAGGAACAAGCCATAATTCCAACTCTACAAACACAGCATATTGTAGTCACTTTTTTCAAAATAATAATAATATATCTTACAGTATATGGTTTAGTAGATAAGTTCTGGATGTGCACAAGGGACATTTGGTGATATTGAAATCTGTGCTCATCTATGAAATTTGCTCTGTTTCCCTGTAATAACATTATTAAGAAAGAGAATGTCCCTTCTGTCTAATTTAGCCATTCCAGAGAAAAAAGTTAATTTCCTAAGTACCATGAGTACTATACAACTGCAACCTTCAATAGAAGCTGGATGCCATTGGGACATTTACCTCTCCAGTTTGACTGGCCTTTTATGCTTTGCTGTCTCCTTACTAAATCTGCAAGTATATTGGGACAGAATATTAAGAGACCCAGCTATTCAGCTAGTTGTAAGTAATTATTTGTACATATTTCCTCTGTAAAATTTTATGAAGTTGCTGACCTGTTTCTAAAATAAAATGGCCAGGCTAATATTATGAATACAGCTCAACATGGATGTTTATGCCCATGTCACCAAATTTTTATCTTGTCCTGGTGCTTTTAGATACAGTTTATTGAGTTTATGAGATAGATTCATTTTGAAACATAATCTGCAAAGGCCAACTTGAGACACTCCTGTGTGATGAACCAACCATGAACTGCAATAAAAAGGGCTCTGCCATTTATTGACGACATGAAACAATTTTCAACTTCTCAATATGCCATTAAGAGTGTAGCACAAGGAATTGGAGAAGAAAATAACTTCTTGTTCCAAGCTTCGTGTGTGATGGACTGCTTTAATTAAAAAGCTGGTATTGTTTGGCTAGGATTCCATGTAGGATATGCAGAATGATTGTTTTAAATTAAGTGCTCTGTATACTTGTTCGTAAATTAATAATCTTAGCAATTCACTTTTTTTAAAAGTCAAATGTTAAAGAGGGGCAAGAGGGTAGATATAATAGAAAGAAACAGAAAAATACTACTGCTTTAACAATGTATTTTGTCTGTTCCCAGACCTCTTTATGACACATTAATTCCTGACTGAGATACTTTGTGTTTGAAACAATGCCAGATCTAAGGATAATATATCTAGTTTTTTTACCCTGCAATTCAGGATAAAAATAGCCTTCCCCCAAATTAGTTATGTATAATGATCCAAGTTTCATATTACCACACAAAAAAAAGTGGGGAAAACATCACAGTATGTATCTGAGTGAACTTTGCATCTGAGAGCATTCTAACATTTCACTGACAATCAGAACTTTTACAAAACTGCTGATGAGAAAGGGATGAATTTCAGATTTGCCTATTGCCAACTGGATCAAATATTACTTAAATGTCATCAGCAAACAATAATTCAGATGTAATGATACCTTAGATGAAGCTGAAGATGAAGGATTAAATTTTGGGTTTGTGTGTGTGTGTGTGTGTGTGTGTTTGTGTGTGCATTTGCACTTCCTTCAAAATAATGGTAATAAAGAGAATAAATGACAGGTTCATCTTGCTCTTATTTATTTATGAAATCTTTCCTGATTTATCTTGTCCTTCACTCCAGGATAAATCCTACTTCGAAACAGCAAAAAATAATATACAAAGGTTAAATAATCAAACTTTAAAACAGAGCAAGAGTGTGAGAGAGTGCAGAGCTAAAAATCACCGAAAGGCCAAGTAGTGCACAACACAAAACACAACAACCTATCAGAAAGAAGAGAGGAAATGAGTCTGATCTCTTTAGATAAAGGTTAAGTAGAGAACACAGGAAGGCTGGTTCCTGGGCTGTCACCACTTAACTTCTCTTGCTAGTGAGGCTTATACAAAGGCTTTCAAATGAAGTAATAAATAAATTTTCAAATGGGACAGAGGTGGGCTTTCACCAAAAATATGACAATGATCCTCTTTGTCTACACACACACACACACACACACACACACAGAGAGAGAGAGAGAGAGAGAGAGAGAGAGAGAGAGAGAGAGAAACTGAAGATGAGGCCAGAAGCTCCTAATGTAATTTAAATCATGGGAATAATAATAATAATGACAAAGTTGGAAGGAACCTTGGAGGTCATCTAGTCCACCCCCTGCTCAGGCAGGAAACCCTATACCATTTCAGACAAATGGCTGTCCAGTCTCACCCCCTGCTCAGGCAGGAAACCCTATACCATTTCAGACAAATGGCTGTCCAGTCTCTTCTTAAAAACTTCCAGTGTTGGAGCATTCACCGCTTCTGGAGGCAGGTTGTTCCACTGGTTAATTGTTCTAACTGTCAGGAAGTTTCTCCTTAGTTCTAGGTTGCTTCTCTCTTTGGTTAGTTTCCACCCATTGATTCTTGTCCTGACTTCAGGCGCTTTGGAAAATAGTTTGACTCCCTCTTTTTTGTGGCAGCCCCTGAGATATTGGAACACTGCTACCATGTCCCTCCTCGTCCTTCTCTTCGTTAAACTAGACATACCCAATTCCAGCAATCGTTCCTTATATGTTTTAGCCTCCAGTCCCCTAATCATCTTTGTTGCTCTTCTCTGTACTCTTTCTAGAGTCTCAACATCTTTTTTACATCATGGTGACCAAAACTGAATGCAGTATTCCAAGTGTGGCCTTACCAAGGCATTGTAAAAGGGTATTAATACTGTACTTCACGTGATCTTGATTCTATCCCTATGTTAATGCAGTCATAGTGTTGGTCTTTTTGGCAGCTGCAGCACACTGCTGTCTCATATTTAAATGATTGTCGACTAGGATTCCGAGATCCCTCTCACAGTTATATGGTCAATATATAATATTGAAATATGTAATATGGTCAATAAAAATATTAATTAGACAGAATGTCTATGGAGATTTTGGGTTAACCAGGTCATGGTTGTCTCAAATATGCTTTTTCAAAAGGCAACTTACATTACTTTTAATGTTGTAATCACTTCAAAGCATGAAGCCAGCAAACAAAACAAACAAATAAATAGACATCTATATACCATTCAAAGGAGACAATCAACGAGCCAAAAGGGAACCAAAACACCTTCTCACCAGCAATCAGCACTCAGATGAGCAGTGATTAACACCAAGATTAACATTAGACCAACAATTAAGCAGCACATAATACTCCAATGAAGAAACAGCTGAACATGCTAACAGTAAAAAGTCCAACCAAAGAACTACCAAGATCACTTGACCGGGCAAGCCACTAGAACACTCAACCTTTTGGGCATCAGGGTCCGGTTCCATGGAGAGAGGTTTTTCCACAGACTGGAGAGTACATGGTTTTGTGTTCTGCCTGCATCTCATGGATGGGGCTTTGCTTGTTTGTGTGGACCAGTTGCTGGCATACCACAATCCGGTACTGGTCCGTGGTCCGGGGTTGGGGACCCCTGCACTGGAATATAAAATGAAAGGAAACCCCACTTCTGACTAGCATTGATAATGTTACCTAGCTTGAATAATGAAATGTCTGAAATAAAACAACCAAGCTCAGAGACCACCAAGGATTCCTCAAATGTTACCTTGAGTGGAAATCAGGATATATTTTGACTAATGTTATGATAGATGTATGTTTGTATGGACTTTATTTTTTATTTTCATATTCTTTCTTACTCAGTACTGATGAAACAGAAAGTTTTTTTAAAAAAATTCTTTCCCAGCAGAATAGAATTTTAGAAGAATTATTATGAGTAGAATGCTATGTTATTCCACTAATTTAGTTACAAGGTGGCTGAGGACTGTGTGTGAATATCTTTTGCTATATAATCATCTCTTAGCAATCTGCTTTAATTAAATCCCAAGGGATGATATAATGAAAACATTCCTCCAATTGAGCTTTTTCAAATGGGGAAGCGTAGGCAGCTGAAGAGGATTCAGCATGATAGAAAAATGTGTTAGGGAAAACAACAACAAGAATAGCACTCTGAATTATCTCCAACAATAAAATCAGTTGAAAAACATTGCAAGAGAAGATTCTGAGAGAAAGAATTTATCTTACTCATTCTGAGAGAAAGATAGAAATGTATAATCTTTTGTAGGGGAGGAAACCTGCAGAGACATTGCAAGGTCCAGTTGCCTCAGCATTTATGGATGTGTCAGCCCTATAGGGTAGATTAGACTAAGAATCAATACCATATAGGTCTACAACTACTTTAAATAGAACAGCTATAGTAACAGAACCTTGCAACTCTTCCATTAATTTTATCATTATGTGAATTATGTGAATCTGTGTGAGCAGATTTTTCAAGTTAATTTCTTAGAATGGGTTTAAGCCATATTTGTCTGATTATTGTCTTGTCTTCCCACTGTTTGCCTTCTACATAAAATAAGGCAAGTTTCTCACCATTTAGTTTTGCCTTGCCTTATCCCATTGTCCGACAGAGAATTTACTCTGACTAATTTCTCAGCTCAAAGTTAGGGAAATAGCATACAGAATGAAAGGACATCTTTTTCTTTACAGGTAGTCCTTGACTTACACCAGTTCATTTAGTGATGGTTCAAACTTACAACACCATTGAAAAAAAGTGGCTTACGAATATTTTCATACTTGCAACTGTTGCAGCATCCCCATGGTCACATGATCAAAATTGGAATGCTTGACAACTGACTCAGATTTATGATGGTTGCAGTGTCCCAGGATCATGTGATCAGCTTTTGTGACTTTCTGATAGGCAAAGTCAATGGGGAAGCAAGATTCACTTAACAACTGTGTTATTAGCTTAACGAATGCAATGATTTACTTAACAACTGTGGCAAGAAAAGTCATAAAATGGGGTAAACTCGCTTGACAAATGTTTCACTTTCAACATATAAATTTTCGGCTCAGTTGTGGTCATAACTCAAGGACTACCTGTATTCAGATACCTGATTTGCAAGCATTTAGAATTAAAAAAATTGGAAATTTATAAGTTAAAATTTGGAATATCTTCATATTCCAATTAACAACTGTTGTATGTCTATATTTAAAACTCTTGATGCACCCTTGATATAATGGTCTTAACTATTTTCACTGTATTTTTGCTTCTAAATATATACTGTATTTGCCGGCATATAAGGCGACTTCCGCAAGCGCTAAAATCGGCGCCAAAGACGGGGGTCGTCTTATATGCCGAGTCATCTTATACGCCGGAAATACTGGTAGTTTCCGGCGTATAAGACGACGTTCTAGGAATGCGGCCCGGCGACAAAGATGGGGGTTGTCTTATATGCCGGGTCGCCTTGTATGCTGGCATATACGGTATCATGGTTTTTAATACTCACCCTAAATGTTGTTTTATTCCTGTTATTAGTGCTCTGCATAGTATCACTGGGGAACGTGGCATTGTCATTTCTCGTTCAACATATCCATCGAGTGGCAAATGGGCAGGGCATTGGTTAGGTGATAATGTTTCAAAATGGGACCAACTTTACAAATCCATAATTGGTAAGTGAATGTAGTTAGCAGTTTTTATGTAAACAAATATAATTCCTACTGTTTATAAAACTTTAAGTAACAGACTCTTAATATTAATAGTATAAAGTGGCTCTTAATGCTTATCATTTCTCTTATAAGAAAAAAAACTCCATAAATTAATATTTAATTAAATTTAAAACATGCATAACAATTCTAGCTTGAAACATATCACCAATTTGGGGGCAATCCTTTTAGTCTAACTATCTTCTGTAAAAAAGCAGAATGGATTTAGGATTCTCTGTAAGTTTCCAGTTCTGTATAATATGTATAGCTGTTTTTAATGTAAAACATGAAACTTAACAAAATGGATGCAAAATCTGTTACAGAATTCATTATAGCCTACCAATATATCCTCCTGACCATATCATGTTGCTCTTAGAATTAAAAGTTCATTGAACGTCTTGAATATATTATAAAATTGAATATTAAAATGTGTATGGAAAGCTACACAATGTGTACATTGAGATAATTACACTAAAGCCAAAGTTTGTTACAGAAAGCTGCATCGGGAAACAAATGTGTGGTTTTAAAAAATATCTTGCAGAAGATTGAGTGGAACATATCAATACTTGTAATTTTGATGTAAGCTGGATTTAGACTGATACATGTACCTCTCAATTAAAATAAAAACAAAATTTCTAATGTCCTACAAGTGGTTAATATAGTGACTATTAAAAAATAAATCATTTGCTAAAACAGTGTATTACTTTTTTCAGGTATGTTGGAATTTAGCCTTTTTGGAATATCCTATGTAAGTTTGATTCAAAATAATTTCAATTGTTTCTTTATGTTTTTTTAAAAGTGAGACTGATAATTAAATATTTTTAATATGTGCAGACAGGAGCAGATATCTGTGGCTTCAATGACAATACAACATATGAATTGTGTGCTCGTTGGATGCAGTTGGGTGCCTTTTATCCATATTCTAGAAATCATAATGGCATTGGATTTATTGTAAGTTTAGAAAATGTGGTTTTTAGTATTGATGTTTCCTAACATGGTGAACATTTCCTGATTCATGCTTTAAAATGCTATAGCCATTATTCATGTTTTTGTCTGTTCCATTAGAAATGATAACACAAGAAGAAAACCCTGTGGAAAAAGTAATAACCGTAATTGGTTTAGTAAGATTTGCAACTAAATCAGATCTAGTTTAACTCTAGTGCAAAGCCTCAGCTCACTTTAAATATGGGTAACAGCACCCACAACTACTCCATTTTATTCCATGTTGTTAGAATGTGTCATCTCCATCTTTTTGATCTATATGAGAGATAGGATTGGCTCCCAAACATTTACATATGAGTAGTGCATTATATTAATCAGTGTAACTCATGTGTTCACATGAGTTCACATGAGTTCACTGCTAGTATTGAATATTCTTGCTTTGACAAAATATACAGAACTTCTGGTACTTTTAGAATTAATTCAGATGAGAATGGGAGAGGGAAGAAAAGCCTGTAGAAGGGAATGGAAGTGAATCTTTGCCCTCCAGTTTAATTGGAAGATGTGAATCATGGCCCCAAAATAGGAGAGGGGAAATGCCTGGAATGTTATGTGCAAAGGAAGGGAAATTCAGATCTTGGCATTCCTCCACGCCATGCTGACACTCCCTTACACTAATAAAGGCTTTTTAGGTTAAACAATGCCTGAAAGTTCTTTGAAGTGTTTCATTAATCAGACACATGACACACAAATGCTATGACTAAGGAAAGTTAATAACCAAATAATCCATGCAGTTAATCAGCTACTAATCTGGGAATGATGTTTTTTTTTCCCACTCTGTTGTTTGGAAGAAGTACTGTAAGTGGCATATCAAAAAAAAAAAAAAAAAAAGTGGAGTAATTTTCTCTCTGTTGGGAGGATGTCTTTCTGCACATACAAAGCCAAGAGAGGCAACTCTGGATCAGAATGAATTTATGCAAAATAGCTAAAATTTCCTCCAGCAAGGTGATTTATTCAGTGAAGGTTATCTGATTTGCTTTGCTAAAATAAAGAAGCTACCCAATTTGCCATGGCAAAGTCATTTAGACAACCTCAAACTACTTTGGTTCAGTGATGCAGTAGAAAACATTTCTCAGCCTTTTCTGGTAACATTCACCCAAGTACTTCAAGGTGGACAATTTCAAGATAGCTCCTAGCATGTGCCAAAGTCACTTAGCCTGGAAGACCTTTGCCTGAGCATACAACTCAGGCTGGGCAATCCCACAGTGCTTGTTGAGGCAGTCAGCCTCAAACATTTTCTCTGGGTATCATGTGTGACTGTGAATGATGGTGACAGACAAGTCTCTCTCTACCTGTCCATATCCACTGGCCAAAAAAGTGTCTCCTGTGCACCTGTGCTGCATGGACATCTACTTTCACTTTAGCCCTACTTCTGTTTTAGCTTGTTTGTTTTACTCCTGTGGGGGAAAAAAGTGCCAGACTGGGAAGAAACCATTGCAGACATTAAATTCAGTACCCAGTGCAGGACTCTAAACTCAAGACATGCTGGATAGATGGCTGTCTAGCTTCAATCTAAAATCATCAGGGTACACAGCATATCTCTCAATAATTGGTTTCACTATTTAATTACACTTCTGCATAAAAGGTCCCCTCAAAAACATTTAATCAAGGAAGTAGGTTAAACTATTGAATCTTAAGGGTTGATATAAAGACATGATTAATTGATATGATTATGGATATAGTTAGGCTTGAGAAAAGTAGGATGAAGGGAACTGTGATAGCACTGTTCAAATATTTGATGTTAATAGAGGAAGGTTAAGAACTGTTTTCCTTTGTTTCATAGTGCAGTATGCATAATAATGGATTTTAATAATACTAAAGTTAATTTAGATTAAATGTTAGAAAAAGCATCCTAACAGTAAGGATGACAGTAGACTATTATTCAGAGAGATTGCATCTTGGATAATCAGTCAACGGGTTGTGTTTGTGGTTGATACTAAATTATTTAGGATGTTAAAACCTGAAAATAACTGTGAGGAGACCAGATGAGTGCAGAGAAGAACAAAAGGATGGTTAGGAGGTTGGAGGCTAAAACGTATGAAGAATGGTTGCAGGAATTGATTATGTGTAGTCTAGTGAAAAGAAAGACTAGGGGTGACATGATAGTAGTGATCCAATATCTATGGAGATTCTCAGTCATCCAGGTCATGATGTCCCAAAGGTGCTTTTTCAAAAGGCAACTGACTTTGTTTTTCTTTGAAGACATTTCACTTGTCATCCAAGAAGAAGCATGAATGAGAAATGAAAATCCAACTGTAGAAGCTTCCTGGATCAGAAGCAAAATGTGTTCAAGAAAAAAACAAAGTTCAGTTGCCTTTTGAAAAAGCATCTTTGGGACAGTCTTACAATATTGGTCAAAGATATATTTTTCTCCCTTTCTCAAAACATTAGAACCAAGGAGCAGCCAATAAAACAGATTTGGTGATAAAAAGCATTTACTCACAGAATACATAATTAGCCCTTGGAATGTGTTGCTACTGGATATATATATATATATATATATATATATATATATATATATATAGTTAATAATGCTAAAAATATGAACCCTGGGAGTATTCATATCGAGAAATAAATGAACACCAGGGTAATAAAACTATAAAAGTTTAATTAAAAAGCGCCAAGCTTTCGCCGTCCCTGCCGGCATCATCAGGGCTAGAGCGCCAGAAAGTGTGAGAGTTTTTTATAGGCAAGTCAGAGTCTGCGCCCAGCTCCTCGATCTCGTCACTGGGCCTAATTGATTCAACTGCGCTTGATTGGTTTGTTTCTTCCTATTCCTCTTAGTTACTTGTGTGTTGTCGTCTCTCCTCCTTTCTTTCGATTCTGGGATGGGTGGGATAACTCCCCTACCATTCAAATTATCTCTGTTCTTCAACCCATCCTCCCCATCAGGTTTGAGTGGTAATGTACACTTCCCCTTCCTTTCCCAATCATCATCCGCTCGGCTGTTCTTTTTGCGATAGCCTTCTCTTTTAACTTTAGTACTTTCTCCTCCCATCCAACTGTCATCTGGGCAATCCTGTAAGTCGTTCTGAGTTGGCTGTGATATGCTGGTAATCTGGGACAGGTTGATACACAAATCCAACGTCCCCCTCCATCCCATTGTCGCATTTAGGGGTACGCCCACCTCTGAACTGGCCAAGTGGCTGAGCGTACGTATCTGCCACTTGACCAGTAATAGTAATACCACTGTGAGATCGGCAGACGAGTTCCTCAATAAAATTGGGGCCCTGAGGGTGGAGGAAGATGAACTCATGGTCTCCTTTGATGTGGTCTCTTTATTTACTTCTATCCCACAAGAACTTGCGATTACAGCCATAAGAGACTGGTTGAATCAAGGAGACCAGGAACAACATCAGGACTCCCTCCAGACAGAAGACCTTATAAAACTGATGGGAGTCTGCTTAAACACCTACTTCACCTTTCAGGGCACTATATTTGAACAGATCAAGGGAACTCCAATGGGGTTGCCGATCTCCAGCGTAATAGCAGAGGTGGTGCTCCAACGTTTAGAACACATAGCGATGGCCCAATACCAACCTAAGTTTTGGGCCCGCTATTTGGACGACACATTTGTAGTTGTCAAGAAGCAACACAAGACTGACTTTATGGGCATTTTGAATTCGGTATACCCAGACATCCAGTTCACCATGGAGGAAGAAAATCAGGGCACATTAGCATTCTTGGATGTACTGGTGCAGCGCCAACTGGATGGATGTTTGACCACCAGGGTATACCGAAAATCAACATGTACGGATAGGATTCTCCATTTTGAGAGCAACCATCCGACAGCCCATAAAGCCAGCTGTGTTAGAACCCTATTTAAGCGTGTGGAATCACATTGCAGCACTGCCAAAGCAAAGAGGGAGGAGAGAAACCATCTTTTCCAAATATGTAAGCGCAACGGGTATCCGGCAAAATTTGTTAACCGGTTCAGTAAATCATCTGAACCCCGGAATAACCCCGCACCCCAAGAACCCACACCCCAGACAACCATACGAGTTACCCTCCCTTATATCCATAATATCTCAGAGGCTACAGCGAGAATCTTGGCACCATACAACATACAAGTAGCGCACAAACCAAATCAAACGCTACGAGCAGCTGTTATGCGCCCTAAGGACCCGCTCCCCAGCATGGAAAGATCGGCAGTCATATACAAGATTGATTGTATGGACTGCCCATGTAACTATGTTGGGGAGACTGCCAAACGAGTGAAGACCAGGGTCCACGAGCATAAATTAGCAGTAAGAAGGGGGGACCAATATTCCCAGATATGGGCTCACATGGCAGAATTGGGCCATAGATTCAATTTCAGTGAAGTTAGCGTGCTGGCAAGTGACGATACCAAGGGAGGCCACTTACTTAGGGAGGCGTGGCTCTCTAATAACAGCTCCATTAATCGGCACGTTGACCTGTGCCCAGCATATGTGGCGTTAAGATCGTGGAGTGCGACCAACCAGCTACCCCATTACCGACGACCTAATAACAGCCCTAATAATATCAAGGAAAATATGTCAACCCCCCAACTGGCTCGGTGTAGGCTAGATGAGGAAGAGCAATTGCGGAGCATTCCTACCACTCTTACAATGCTAGCACGGACCCAAAGGAGCAGCAGAATGAACCTGGCAGCTTGCCTGCGCCTGGAAAGAAGCGAGGCAACCGATCTGGAGAGGAGGAGACGACCCCCCCCCCACTCAGCTGAGACGGCTGGATTGAGGATGTGTGAAATGCGGAGCGAAGCCAGTGACGGACTCACGGACGCTTTAGAGAGTAGGGGGATGGGTGAATTGGGATGGGAGAATGCGCGAGAGGGTGGAATTTACAAAACCGAACTGTTGCGCCTTCCACCCATGGACTCCGAAGACCTCCACAATGCGCACATGGGCACGAACAATGTTAGAAGGGAGAGGAGAGCGAAAGAGAAGCACGGCGGCACTCGAGAAGATCGTAATTCCACTACCTCCCCCAGACCGAGCCTCCGAATTATAACGCGTGTGAAAGGAACACAGGAGCTCAGGAAAGGGGGAGGAGGAGTAACACGACTGAATGTAATCACAGCCAGGGGACCGCCCCCCCCAGTAGACAAACAATCTATCAACCTGTCCCAGATTACCAGCATATCGCAGCCAACTCAGAACGACTTACAGGATTGCCCAGATGACAGTTGGATGGGAGGAGAAAGTACTAAAGTTAAAAGAGAAGGCTATCGCAAAAAGAACAGCCGAGCGGATGATGATTGGGAAAGGAAGGGGAAGTGTACATTACCACTCAAACCTGATGGGGAGGATGGGTTGAAGAACAGAGATAATTTGAACGGTAGGGGAGTTATCCCACCCATCCCAGAATCGAAAGAAAGGAGGAGAGACGACAACACACACGTAACTAAGAGGAATAGGAAGAAACAAACCAATCAAGCGCAGTTGAATCAATTAGGCCCGGTGACGAGATCGAGGAGCCGGGCGCAGACTCTGACTTGCCTATAAAAAACTCTCCCACTTTCTGGCGCTCTAGCCCTGATGATGCCGGCAGGGACGGCAAAAGCTTGGCGCTTTTTAATTAAACTTTTATAGTTTTATTACCCTGGTGTTCATTTTATTTCTCAATATATATATATATATATATATATATATATATATATAT